CACATATCCAAACCGACCGTACATAACTGCTTTATCCTATACCAAGTAGAGTTTTCTAATATTCTTTCAATTTTCTTTTTTTTTTCAATTCTTTTCCACATTTTTCTAATCTTTTTTAAAAAAATTTCAAAGGACGATTCTCGGTTTGGAGAACAGTCTCCTGGGCTAATAATTTTTTTCAGGAAAAATATAGAAATATTACCCAAATTAAACTATGAATATTCAAAAGAGGACATTTAAATCTACAAGATGTAAAAATAACAAATTGGTCTGAAGCAGGGATAACGCTCAATTAGACCGATTCAATAAAATACAAGTCTCGATTTGGGGAAAGAAGTTCATCAGTGTACTGCGCTAATATTTTTTTGCGAAAAATCAAGAAATATTACCCAAATCAAATTATGACTTTTCAAAAGAAAACATTCAAATCTATATTATGTAAAAAAAATCAAATTTGTCCGAAGCAGGGATAATGCTCATTTAGATTGATGAACTTCGTTCTCCAAACCGAGAATCGTCCTTTTTTCTTTTTTCAATTTTTAATTTTTTTCAAATTTTTTTCACATTTTTCTTTTTTTAAATTTTTTCTTATTTTTCAATTTTTTTTTTCAAAGCGGGAAGATATGCCCTGGAGCGGGCGGGAGATATGGAGGTTCAAGATATGGAAACCTCAAAATCAGGATACGGGATATATCTTACCAACTTATCTTCCTAAAACTTTACTTGGCATAGGATAATAAGGGTTATCTTGATCAATAAACTTGGTTTTGGCCCTCCCTTACTCTTCATTTGACCTTAAAAATTCCATTTTTCTTCAGATGGCCTTTCTGAAACATTTGACAACATTTTCATTCATCAAACCTATCACATTTGACTACAATTTTGCATATAAAGAATTATATAATTCAGGACATGTAATCCAGCATTTTTCGAAATCAAGAACATTTGACAACAATAAAGCAGAACAAATATACAGTATGTAATATACAGATTATCCTATATGAGGTCCATTGCATTCATTGCACACCAGAAATCGACCTATCATTCAAAGCGTTTTTAGAAAATTTTGGAACTGCCATTAAATGACTTCATTTGACTGTTGCTTTGACTAATCAGGGATGATGTCATCTCAATACAGATTTACATTCTAGACATATGTCGTCTGTGAACCATGAGGTTCCCCCTCTTCTATTCACTTTAGTATTCAGCTATTATACAGTCATGTAGATATAGATGGCACACTGATCAGCTGATTAAACTGATATTTAATCAATACAAAATTGCAGTGGCAAAAATACATGTTTCCTGCCAATGAGAAAAGGATGTTTCCAAAATATTTAAAACATGGGTATATATCTAGCATTGCAATTTGGTAAGAAATATATAAACATGGACACCTGTGAGGCTAGAAGTTATCATGGATAAGCTTACATTTGCAAACCATATATTTCATGAATTGTTCAAGTTGTACTATATAAGCCTCTCTTAACATGATTAGGGGATGAGGTCCGGAGAGCAAGGGTTATCTTAATTAAGAACCACCCCCCTTGCTCATCATTTGACCTTTTACTCCCTTTTTTGAAATATAAGTATTGTAATGTCTCTTTTTGGTTAGTTTTAAGGGTTATCTTAAATAACTTCGATGCAAGTATATAGTTACTAATTTTACCACCAGGCAGGTATATTAGAAACTTCCCTAAACTTGAATATCCATCTACAGTTCTAGTGGTTCAATTTTCATATTACAAATTAAAATATGTTCAGTAAAAGAAATATTATCTGTCCAATGAAAAATAAATATTTCACTTTTTGTGATTTTATAACTTGGGGTCTATGGGGATCTCCCCAACCTAGAAGTCACATTTTCAAGATTAAAGCTGAAACATACTTTTACACAGGCTGGTATCGAAAGATTTGTCCGCTGTGACGGAGCATGCTATTTTTCATAAGAACACTAAGAATGCTTCACGATTTATTTTTTAACTCATATGTTTCGTTATATCAAAGATAATTACTTACTCCATGCAATGGATATATCATTTGCGTGTAACCTTCACTTCTGTTTGAAGTCAAATAACGCTAGGAGTAAAATCTATTGAAAACGGCGCCAGAGTATCAAATTCTAAAATGTACCATTTCTTTTTTAAATTTTTTAATGGCATGATATAGTGACATGATAATATTAAAATATGTTTTCAGCATAACTCTGAATGTATTAATGAGATATTAATGCATTGGGTCTTTTTAATTTTTTCTGTTAAAAATAATATCAATATTTTTTGTCCGCTGTGACGGAGCATTTTCACAGTTCACATTTGCAACTGCTCCGTCAAAGCGGACAAAAAAATTAAAGATTATTTTTTATAAAAGAATTAAAAAGACCAAATACATCAACATCTCATTTATACCTTCATAGTTATGCTGAAACCATGTGTAAATATTATCGTGTCACTATATCGTGCCATTAGAAAGTTAAACAAGAAATGGTACATTTTGAAGTATGATACTCCGGCGCCATTTTCAATAGTTTTTCTTCCCAGCGTAATTGGACTTCAAACAGAAGTGAAAGTTACCCGCAAATGATATATCCATTGCATGGAGTAAATAATTTTGTATGGTATAACGAAACATATGAGTTAAAAAATAAATCGTGACGTATTCTTAGTGTTTTTATAAAAAATAGCATGCTCCGTCACAGCGGACAAATATTTCGATACCAGCCTGTGTTTTAGAACCCTCATTTCTAGATGTAATTTTACATGTAAATTTCAAATATGATACCAAATTTGACTGAATTTTGAATCTTTAAAGGGCCAAATCAAGATTATTACTACTTCTGCCTAGCCTATAATTCTGCTATGCATATAATGAATCATACAATCCAGGACATGTTATCCAGCATTTAATTTTTTAAAATCAAGAACATTTGACAACAAGGTTCAGGATATAGAGATTATCCTGAGGCTAATATATACAGACTATACAATGATCTGTTTATCCCACATACTCAATGTTCAAATATTTGTGCATCTTTCACAAGTTCAATTCCCCTAGCCCCTGGGCTTAAGGGATTATTGCTTGTGAAAGATGCAATGGTAATCACCTCAATAGAATGAAATACTTGTATAATATTTCAAGTTTAGTTTCTAGATTTCAATTTGTTTGGTGATAGTGAGATACTAGATCTATAAATTCAAGTGAAATCCCTTAGAAAAAGTCAAAGTTCAACATAACTGATATCAGGTATTTGCTTGCTATAAGTAATCAACTATAATACATGTAGATATAGATGGCGTCTGATTAGGTGTACCATGTGTAACATTGGCCCCATATTTTATTCATAAAAATTGCGACAACAAAATATATGCTTCTTGCCAATGAGAAAAGGATGTTTCCAAAATATTTAAAACATGGGTATATATCTAGCATTACATTCTGGTAAAAAATTTATAAACATGGAGACCTGTGATGCTAGAATATATCATGGATAAGCTTATATTTTCAAACCATATATTACCATGAAATACTCAAGATGGTATATAAGCCTCTCTTAAAACAAGTAGTACATGAGGTCCGGAGAGCAAGGGTTATCTATGATTTATGAACCCTCCCTTGTTCAACATTTGACCTTTTACTCCCCTTTTCCTCAATTATCAATAATGTTATGTCTGCCTTTTTAGGACATCTAATCTTCAGGACATGTAATCTATTGATTTAATTATTCAAAACCAAGACCATTTGACAACAATATAGCATATAATATGAGGTTATATAATGGTTGATTCTGTATATCATGTTTATACTCAAGTGAGTATATGATATATTCACGAGTGACTGAAGGGAACGAGTGAATATATCATATACTCACGAGAGTATAATGATATACAGAATCAACCATTATATGATCTTATTATCCCACCCTTATATTTAATCAATAAAAGGTTAATCTAAATTCAGCAGTTGTATATCAAGTCGAAGAGTTGTATACACTGCCCAGGAGTTGTATACGCTATCCAGGAGTTGTATATCGTTCTCAAGAGTTGTATACGATGAGTGTTGGTTTTATATCGCAGTTATACAATGCTTTTATACAATCATATAAAGCACTTAGGGTGGGATAATGATTCATACAATTCAGTATATATGATTCGGCATTTGTTTCAAAATCAATGACATGTGAGTATAATTTAGCACATTTTGTAACCATATATCCTGGATGACTAAGAATAATTTTTAATGCAATAATTCATTGCATTAAAATGCAGTTTATTCAGGAATTTGAATTATAATGATAAACGTATAAAAAATATGTTGCACAAAACTCTAACAACTAACAAAAAAATTATATCCTTAATTTGGTCTAAAATATATTATGGATACAAATATGGAACATATTGTCTATTTCTGATTCTTGTTTCGATTTTAATTTGTTTTGTGATAGTGAGATGCTTATTCAAATATTCAAAACAGTCAAATATCGATAGTATTGATAATATCAGATATTCACTTTAGTATTCAGCTTTTATACATGTAGATAGAGATGGCATACTGATCACTTGAGCTATTTGCAAGATAAAATGCAGTGGCAAAATATATGCTTCCTACCAATGAGAAATAGATTTTTCCAAAATGTTTAAATCATGGGAATGTATCAAGTATTCCAATCTGGTAAGAAATATATGAACATTGACATTTGTGATGCTAGAAGTTATTGTGTATAAGCTTATATTTGCAATATTATCATGAATTGTTCAAGTTGTACTATATAATCCTCTCTTAACATAGCAACAGAATGAGGTCTGGAGAGCAAGGGTTATCTTGAACAGCGAAGCTGACTCTCCCTTGTTCAATATTTGACCTTTTACTCCCCTTTTCCTCAATTATCAATTATGTTACGCCAGCTTTTTTGACACATTTCATCAATTAAAAGTTTCCAAATGTTTTGACATAATTCCTGCTTGAGAAATATGATTACCTCCACCCCTCTGTCTCAGACTTACCTCAGCTGTGATTTTGATGACATTATATTGTTCCCTTGCCTGCATATCTTCACACTGGTTGATACGCTCCTCTAAATTCTACAAATCAAGATTAATATCTGATGAGTTTGTTGTAATTCACATTTCATCTGCATTCGGTTTTCACTTTTTCAAACTTCGATGCTATTCACATAATTTTACATGAAAGGAAATACAATTATTTCGTAAGATTTTGTAAGATGCGAAATTAGTAATTAAATAAAACATAAATATCAGTATAATTACTACAGTACACAGGGAGATATGCCGAGTACCAAAATAGTACTCATGGCATTTAGCACTAATTGAGTTACCAGTAGATATTAGTACTAAATGAGCACTTATGACATAAGTACTGATTTATTGCATTTTTAGTATTCATATGATAAGTGATAAAATAGCACTAATTTTATTGATTTTTCATTACTCAATGAGTACTCATACATATGCCGAGTACTCAGTTAGTACAAAATAAGATGTAATACTACTAAATTAGCACCCCTGGCACTTTTGCCAGAGTGTTAATTTAGTACTAATTTTGAACTAATTGAGTAATCGGCATATCTCCCTATGTATTTCTGTAACATTTTCTTGGAATTGGAGTTTAGAGTGGTACAACTGATTGGCTGGGAGCTTCGTTATATTTCCATCAAACATCATTATTAGTTGTAATTTATGCATGTAATTTATAAAACAAATGTATAACAAATCACATACCATACAAAGAAAGAATCAAATTTAAGTTCCATTGTCAGTCTCTCATCGAGAGCTGAACTCTTAGAAAATTAACTGACTATTGAGGACAAAAACCGGAAGAACTTATTTTGAGTTCAGCATTTGGAAGATGAGTACTTGCATGTAATATATTTTTGCTTACTTTAATAATATATTTTTGCTTACTTTAACCTGGTCTATGAGCAGCTGGAGGTAAGCATCTGTCTCAGCAAGTTTCTTGTCAAAGTCAGCAGGTGAAACTCCGAGAGACTTCTCCCATTTCTGGAATATCACAATGAATAAAATACTTGTACAATGTACACATATCTAAGCATGACATTGCATGTCTATAATTCAGTTTCCTTAATTCAATTATGACCTGTAAATAATTTTCAATATAAGAAATGTTTGAAATGACTTTTAGTATTTCATTTAAGACACAACTCAAGTGACTAACTCCATAAGATGTATTTCTTTTATATATCTTGGAACAATGGGCATATGTCAAGAAAAATTGGAATTCATATGAAGCTTATATTAGGATGACATCATTGCATCAAGCAATCATCTTGAAAGCCAAAAAGTTATATTCAATCACTTTGTTATCTGAATGGCACTGAGTACTTTTAAGAGCACTTAGTGGAATCTTACAACAAGCAATATATGTACAATCTTACCATAAGAACCCTCTATAGTTTAGATATACTCAATTAGATATCATACAAGGTAACATTTTATATGAAGGATATTGAATGTACATGAACTATGAAACAACATAAATAGCTTCATCAAAAGAGGTGGGATAGATAACTCAGGGTTCTTACAAATTTAACAATGCATTAACATGCACAATGTAACCACCTGCCATTTGCTACAGGCACCAACTGCCAGCACCAACCATCAAACACCAACATCCAAACACCGACCACCATCCACAAAAAGTTGGAGACTATAACAACATGTCACCATTTCAGGTGGTAACATAAAAATGAATTTCCCTGACTTTTCCTAGTCAGGAAATTTCATTAATCATTCTGATCTTCCCTGACTAAATGAATCATGTAGCTCATCACAGCACAATGTCAACCAAACCTAGCCGTACTACTGCTGAATTCCACAGAATTATAGCCATCGTAATTTATATGTAAGGAATGGATCATGGAAATCAAATGTGAATTCTGAGAGCCTTTGATCCCCAAGCTAAGCTCGTTTGAGATCATAAAAAAGCTCAAATATCAAACAAGTTTTTTCGATAACAAATTAAATGGGTCAAGGTCAACATATTGTACAATGTATTGGATTTATGAATGAATCAATTCAATGCAGCATTCTGTAATTAAATAAATTGGTATAAATGACTCATCTACATGATCACTGTTATATTTTATAAAATCTAGTACATTATGTATATACATGGACTTAACAGCCAACAAGCTAACAAGCATAACAAGCCTTAATTAGTATGAAATACCATGGGTATACTAAGATAGTCATGCATGTTACTGGCAGGACGTGGGTTCAAACATGACACAAAGGTCCGTATGCTGCTCCTTCTGCGTCCACTTTTGCTTCTCTGTAATAAATATTATTAGCATACAACAGTAAAACCTTTCAGTTGTAACTAGGGGTATCACAATATGACGATATGACCTACGATACTGACCTCACAATACTTTATGAACAATAAGATACAGTGTGAATCATAAAACTTTATTCAAATTTTTAACTCACAGCGCCATGAAAAATAATTTTCAAGACCAAATAAGCAGGCGATCTTTAATTTCAACAGTTTTACATATCAAGAGTACACAAACAATGCCTGAGATTAAGAACTTTTTCTCTTGTTTATTTGATTGAATCTCCCCATACAATTGATACTGAGCTCAGATATATACCGAAAAGTAAGTTATTATAACTTCAGATCAAAACATTTGGTCATTTGTATATTTTTGACCTGAACAATGCTTCGAAAACTTGAAGTTATGTACTTTCATTTTGAAAACAGATACGACTGATATTCACCAATCTTTACCATTGCAGTTCGTATCCGACGTGAATTGCTCGAGCAACCAAACGCTTGTGGTATCCCTAGTTGTGACAGCCTTTTAATATGAACAATTTGCTAATGAGGTCTCATTTTTCAAGTAAACATTTTGCTTATTTGGACAAATGTAAACATTTTTTAATATAAACAAACTAAACATCTTATGTGATAGACTTAAAGTCTTAATCATGGACTCTGCAGATACTTCCCATGTTTCATAAACAATGAATTATTAAGTCTATTGTATACCCCAATCACAGTAATTCTATTCTAAATTTCAATCAAAACATGCAGTGTCAAGTTTAATTCCTTGTCCAATCAAGGTAGACTACCACATATGGCATTTTTAAACAAGTCGCAGTTCCACATATTTACTAAAAACAAAACTTGGTTTATATAAGTCACACATCCAATATATCCACACTAAATAGGGATGTTCACCTACAATAGTATTCCAATACATAACCAATACACACATAGACAAGGCATTAACATGACAAAATGTCACCACCTTGAAAAGGTCATTAAATTTCAAATCTCAAATCTATAGTCAGATTTGAACTTTTGAGAACTTGTAGATGATTTTGAAGCAAGTTGAAAAAAGACCCTTTTGACCATTTTTGACCTTAAGAAGGTCATTGAAGGTGAAATCTCAAATCTAAAGTCAGATTTGAACTTCTGAGAAAAAATTGGTCAAAATGGTCAATTTGAAGCAAGTTGAAAAAATACCCTTTTGACCTTTTTTATACCCTTTTGACCTTAAGAAGGGCATTGAAGGTCAAATCTTAGAATTAGAATTTGTTACAACCACCTACTGCCGCCCGCCAATATTGCTAACCACCGTCACACAAAAAATGGAGACCATAACAACAATATGACACCATTTTTTGTTGGTGACATAAAAACTAAATATGAATGAACAAGACACAACTATCTTTAATAATAAGATGTCGCGGATAGCCGATTTCATTTGGATTTGCATAATATTAGCTCTTGGTTCAGAACTGATTAACCAGTTTTTAACCGATAACCAGAATTAATCTACACATTCACTCTGTTCAGGACCTGAACCAAAATTGTTCCTTACTGAAGTCAAATGCCCCAAACCGAGCCGTTCCAGATATGACACCTCCAATATTTATAGAGACTATACAATATACTGGTTTTACTGAGCATGAGTTATACACATAAACATATATACAGGGTGGGCCAAAATATCTCCATTTTCATTTTACTCTGAATAATAAATCTTGGATTTAAAAAATATATTTGCTGGTGATTGCTAGAAAAACAGCAAATCTCACCAATAAAACATATTTTATCAAATCACCCATCAATTTGAACATATCAGAGATAAAAGCCAGACAGTTGTATTGTCTTAATTTGTACCAAATCCATATTTGGAATTATGAAATCTTGGAAATTCCTTGAAGCCCTTGAACCCGAGGCCCTTTGCATATAAGACATTGGCCAAAAATATATTAACCAAATACAATGCCCATATTAAGGTTATCAAAAATGACATATTTTCATAAAATGTGGCCATTTTGAATTAAAGGGTTACGTATACCTTCCCGTATAAATACAATATGGCGACTCCAGATGAGTCCACTAGATCAGTCTATTTAAGGGAGTTCGGTTTATTCCAGTTTATTCAAATTGTCTTCATGAAGATAAAACAATGCGTAGAAAAGTTTACAATCTGTAAATATTGAGAGGGTTGCCTTTTATACTAAATGGTGAGCAACACCAAAAACGAGCGTTCGATTTGCTAAACGATATGCATTACCCTTTAAGTGGCCATATTATTCATCTTATTCATCATCATCAATGTTTCATCATATTCAATATATTGATTGTGTTTTAAAAAAACAGATATTCAACAACATTGTGGACTTGAGGATTATCATAGTCATTGGTCATCTTATAAATCCCAACTTAAGACAATTCTCAGTATTGTAAGAAAAACATACTTGCAAGAAAAACCATGGGCTTTCGAAGGCCCATGGAAAAACATACTGGTCATATAAAAGTACTGGTTTACCATTTACTGGTATCACAAATCATGTTATTAATTCCCATATCATCATGACACTTAACTAATATACTGGATATGAACAGGCATATAATTGTTGTCATGCAAGTACTGTATATATAAAAAATTACTGTATAGCCAAGCCAATAGCCATGCCATTATTTCAAGGTCATGCCACTATACACTACAAGACAGATTTCCATTTGTTATGATTGACTTACACTTTTAGGATGTGCACGCTGACTAGAATGCTGGTGCTGTAAAAGTGTATAATATTTTGTTAAATTAAGCCTTTGCTGTAGGTATTTCGTTGGCAGGGAGTGTGCAAATGTCCCAACCATCTGGCTAAAAATAAGTCCTTATGAAACGAAGCATCATAACTAATTTAGAGCTTTTTAGGCGTTTTTGGTTTAAGATTCATTCTTTGCTGTGAAAAAATTGCAGAAGCATCTCCTTCAAGGAGATCTTCAGATCCAGTGCATCAACAAGCAATCCAGTTTTATCTTGATATATTGCATTTTGCTTGAGCATGTTGATGAAAGAATGTTATAATACAATGTGTAAAAGGAAACCAAAAAATATATTTACCTTCAAAGGTTGAGAGTGTCGAAGAATGGCTTCTTCTAGAGCATCTATCCATTTCTCACGTTCATCAAAGTCGCGAGCTATAAATTAAAAAATATCATTTTAATATTTATCAATGACCAAGAGGCATAATTTTATCAATCTTCCTAATGATTAAGTTTTTGATAATACAAGGGGAACAGCACCTCTTCTCCATCAGTGCTCAGACTTTCCTGAGAGAATGGGGAGGGGAAGTATATACTATATACAGGGTCTTCGAAACTCTAATACATTTTTTAAGGCTGACATTAATAATTTTAATTTTCATTGGACGGATTGTTTTGTCCATACTCCAAGTCTAGTTTTGTCCATACTACCAAATCTAATTTTGTCCATACTACCAAGTCTAGTTTTATCCATACTACTAAGTCAGTTTTGTCCATAATACCAAGTCTAGTTTTGTCCATACTACCAAGTCTAGTTTGTCCAAACTACCAAGTCTAGTCTTGTCCATATTACCAAGTCTAGTTTTGTCCAGACTACCAAATCTAGTTTTGTCCATACTAACAAGTATAGTTTTGTCCATACTACCAAGTATAGTTTTGTCCATACTGCCCAGTCAAGTTGAAAAGGACCTTTTTGATCTTTTTTGCCTTTAGATGGTCATTGAAGGTCAAATCTAAAGTCAGATTTGAACTTCTGAGATAATTTTGAAAAAAATCTGGTCAATTTGAAGCAAGTTGAAATAAAAAATACCTTTTTGACCTTTTTTGACCTTGAGAAGGTCATTGAAGGTCAAATCTAAAGTCAGATTATTCATAATAAGGTCAGATTTGAACTTCCGAGAACTTGTAGATGATTTCGAAAAACATTGAAGTCAGTCGAAACAGTATTTGTTAAGCAGGCCCGTAGCCAGAATTTTCCAAGGGGGGGTTCGTTTTTCTAAAAAATTCTAGGGGGGGTTCACTTTGGCAAATATGGCCAAAAATCGCTCCGAACCCCCCAAACCCCCCCCTGGCTACGGGCCTGTTAAGTGATTGGAAGCTGTAAGAATTTGTTACAAACGCCACCCAAAGGATGCCAACAGCCAACCGACATCACAACAAGCAGAGACCATAGCATGTTTTGGTGGTGACATAATAAATGGTGGATTTATATGAGAATGATTTAAAGTACACATGTACCTTGGAAATGAAAGGTCTTCATATCAGCAGATGTCACTGTAAATGTGCTATCATCTTCATCATCAATTCCTATAACAGCACCCTAAAATAACATACAAAATGCATGTGGTCAAAAACACCCCCTATGATGCATAATTCATCAGTGTACTCTGCTAGCTGGACTAGAGCAGGTGAGTGATACACACAGTTTAAATTGTAATACTGCTTAATTTTGAATGCAGTCAAAGATCAGCTATTTATTACAATTAAATTCATATTGCTTCATCAACATATACAGCATCTGACTCATGACTCATTATTACCTACTAGTAATTAGTTTAAGAAACAACAAACCTTTAGTTTGACACATCCCCGCCTGTCACCTCTCATCATGTTATTCTTTGACTAAAAAACATAAGAATCACAATCACACAATCTTCTGTGTATTTCCTATCATAAATAAAGTATGTTTAATATAAATACATTACATATAATACTAACATTAACATTCAAACAAGACCCTTCTCCTTTAATGTTCATAAGAAATAATTGAATAAATGATTGCCTATTTTAACTGCAAAGCTAAAACAGAAATTAATAGGTCTCATATTTTAAAAAAATTTGCTTTTCAGAAAAACAGGTCAAGTGAGAACTGGTAAGAAAGCAAACAATATTATATATTCAAATATGTCATTCTTGATAAAATATATTTATTACTTCATAATTGTATTACTAAAACAAACTGAACTAAAAGTTTTATTAAACATTATTTGTGATTACTTCATCATGGGGCTACTTCGACCATGGGGTTATTTTGAAATAGCACCAATGATCGAAATAGCGACATGACAAAGTAACCCCATAGGTCGAAGTTTGACGCATTTCCCCAACAGAATGACCTGGCAAAGTGTTGATTGCTATTTATAGATCAATAAAGATTCTAGTTGACCTCACATATTAATGATAACTTTAGGTGTAAACTTGCAGTAAGCAGACCTCGGGAATTCTTCGCCATGGAAAGTCGAAAAAATGGCCAATCTAAAGATTGAAATGTATACCTCTGCAATTTGAGACACTACTAAACGCCCCCAAGACCAGGATAGGAACGAGATAAGATGAAATGATGTATCTAATTTGAAGTTTCAATAAGAAATCACATCAAACAAAAAAAATATACAAGATCATGTTTGATAAAACCTCTACAGCTCTATGAACTCTTCTCAAACTCCCATGCAGTGTCTCGGAATAGACACTGCGGCTGACAGATGAAGAAATCACCAAAATTCAGAGAAGATACATGTAGTCCTCCCCGTTTTCATCACAGATGTACTCAATTTTCACACAACTTATAAAATATATATTCTTCTACTTTCCCATATCATTATTTGGTCGAAATGTTTCGAAAATCATGAAATATGAATAGAAATATCCGCGCTAGAATTTAGAGTTAAAAGTTTTGTTGATAATGTTTCACCGCACATGTGTTTATTTAATACGCGCAATCTAACCAATGAACTTGTCTAGATTTTACAATCACGTGAAACCAGCATGAGACAAGAACCAATCACGTCAGTTGTTTATTACGAAATTGCCATGCTTACGATAAATGATCTGCCCGTGGCAGAGTTATGTTGAAGACTAGCACTGCACGGAGTTTGTACTCTTCTATTTCAAGGTTGAAAGTGTATGAACTAAACTAACAGTATAGGATCTTAGGCTGATCATTTACAACAACTAAACACATATATTCTTACAAAGTATAGGATGTCTATAGTTGCTTATCTATACTATATTGAATCAGTCACTCACTTTCAGTTTCACTGTCAAATAATTTTTATTTTTGAAAAAAGGGGGGTATTTTTTCTTTGAAACCATATTACAGCAATACTAGGTAGACAAACACACAGAAACTCTACCGAATTTGAGAACATACCGTGTAGTATGACAGCTGCCCAGAATTTTGGTCCAGTACAAACCATCGGTACTGCCATCCCTTCATTACATTTGTCCACTTGCTTAGAGGACCTTCCATGATGGATGTTTACCTCGTCACGTGATAAAGTAGGTCATGACTTACCAAGTAGTAATTTATACTTCAATTAGTGATATTGTAACTGACACTATGCTCTTTGGTAAATTTGTTATTTTATCAAGAAAGTGTATTTCTGCTTGACAGTTTGCTATTTCTTCTGCAAACAGTGTTTGTTGTTTTAAAGCTAATTAGACAGTACATATCTCAATGAAATTGTTATTGGGCGATTCATTTTAATTTGAACCAATCAAATTCGAGCACCGGTTTTAAAAACATCATGAAAATGTTTGAGCAGAAACTATGTGCTATTTTGTGGTCAGACATCAAGATATGAACTCTAAACTTATTAAATAATGTGCCAAAATTAACATGGATAAACCATCAACAGTTTTAGGCCCATATAGGGCAACACGTTTGGTAAGTACACTTCTAGATTTATGTTTCTATTTAGATCCACTGAGTGACAAAATGCAAAAGTCACTGATTGATCATTTTAGAATTCATTTTGAATTGATCAAAGTTACAACATATTTGAATATATACAGTTTGAAATGAAGATTCGCATTTAAAAAATTGTAAGACATGTTATGAGAAATTAGAACATCTGTTCCCAGGCATCCGATGTACTATTTTTGTATTTGAGTGACACGACATGGTAAATCTTCTCGAAAGATTTAGTGTGTTAACCATAACGATTTATTGCGGTTTTGATTATATAGTCTACTTTATAGAGTTTCTTAAGATCTAGGATAGTGGCAATATCTTCATATGTTGTTCAGATTCATATGACTACCACTGTCACTAATAAAAGACTATTAAAAATTTGACTATAAAAGACTAGATCTACTACTCAAGGCTATTTATTTCAATCATTGTTTATTTATCAAATACATTTATTTTCAGTGGAATGATATTATAAGGACATTTAGAACACAGATGCCAATTGGTCGCCACAGGCGGCATATGCGTACATTTGACAATTGTTTTGTGGCTTCGGATGGAGTAGATTGGTTACATGGTTGCCTTGTCAGGAACCCAAATTTTGGTCCTGAAGTAACTAGGTAAGTAAATTTCAAACGATGTTACTATAGTCCACAATCAATGTGCTTTCATACTGATCAAAGTGATTTGAAATTACTGAATTAGAAAGAGGTGATTCTTTTGTAATCACATATTTGTAAATTGCAAGGTTCAGACAATAAATTATGTATTCACAGTTTTAATTATCTGACACATGGGGTGGATCCTGGATAAGTAATCATGCCAATTGGCTAATTTCTTCAAGATGCATGCATTTGACTTCTTCTTAATGACAGTTAGAACATCCATGTCTATCAGATTCATACAAACTTTCAAATTACCCTATTAATCAACTGTCTTCTATTATGAGGCAAACATAAAGTTTGTCAATGTTAATAATTAGCAGCTGATATGGTTGAAATCTGCAATCAAAACAACCTGTGTTGGAATAATATTATTCCACAAACAGATCAGGGTTTTAATTTACATTCTCTGACAGTTATATTATCAATTAATTTCCATATTAATCCACTTGGACCTACCATTAATATGTTAACATACAGCTGTTTGAAGTGTTTGGGGGTTCCTCAATGAATATTTGTCAATGCTTTTCAATGTAGCAGTTATGTAAATCATTGTTATTTACCTTATACATTCTTGAATACGTTTGTTTTTATAATTCTTATCCCCAGTTCACACACTCCCATTACAGCATTAGGCATTGTAAACATGAATGCAGTACAATGCATCATAGTTGTAAAATGCGTTGCTTATGAATGTTCCCAGTAGATTCAAATTTAGTATTGTAGGCCATAGGCTAAAATGATTATTCATCCTTTTGAATAATCACAGATGAATTCATTATTTTTGTTTGGGGTATAAGAATATTACAATTCTTAATTAAAATTTTCAATAAGGATCCTAAGTTTTTGGATAAAGATAAGAAAATTGTTAACAGCTGTAGCATCCTCATTATTTAAAGCACACCAGACATTGATTAATTACCATTTCCTGTTAAATGTTAATCTTACAAATTAACATTTTAATTTCATATTCTCTCTTGTGAAAATTGCTCTTTCAATCGTGATTGTTAATTATTTTATAAACACATATAACAAGCAGGACATTATTATCTAGACTAACTTTTGTCCCCTGTTTTGTAAATTGACACGCTTGTTAGATGTAAATGTGTGTGAAAAAATTGTATCTGGCCTATCTGATTACAGTACAGCCACTTTGGCCTGCTGTGTTAATGTCACTTCACAGTTTACATTGGGGGTATTCAACTGATAAAGTATGTGGGTTACATAATAGTATATCATGTTCTTGTAAGATAAGGCTTATTTTATGCAAAACTGGCAACTGTCTATATTTGTTTTACGAGTTTCAAATTGTCAACTGTCATTTTCAGTTTGAACAATATTTCTTTGCTATTTTATGTGTGTAGCATGTATCACTTTAGGCACATTTCATGCATAAATTAACAAGGTTAAATATTCATAACTGAAAACTGAAAAAACTGAATCACATTCAAATTGAAAGCCTTGATTGCCTTTCTTAAAATTCTTTTACATACTTTATACTTAAAATATGTATTCATTGTTGACAAGGCCATATTCATAAAGGAACAGCCAAATAAATCTTTTCACTTTTCATAGCATAGCAGGGGACACGCAATGTTTCTACAAAATCGCAAAATATTTGTTCATTTTTAAATTAATCCTGTTGAGATATTTAGTATACTAAATCTATTATTTTGTCTAGTACTAAAGGGGTTTAACTAACGGTAGGAAATTTAATTCAACGGATTGCCTAACATTACCATATGGAACAATATTATTATCCCCATGTTAATCCAGTTTAGAAACCCATAAATACCTTTAAACTAAAACGGTCAAATTATATGAATGCATTTGAAAAACTTTGCATCTTGCAAGTGCCAGTTGGATCGAATGCCAATCAAATGTAAAAATAGGCAATCAAAGGCCCACAATACAATATTTTATGGAAATATACATTAATATTTTAGATGCGAAACATTTGTATATTTCAAATTAAAAGTTAGTTTTGTTTGTAGTAAATGTGAGGCCATACCAACATGTCAAAGAAGTATAAGAGGCCATACATTTGTTAGCTAGAAACCACAAGCAATCCAAAATATACAAACATTTAAGATATGAACATATGTTTACATAATTTTGATTGCTTATCATTTTTTATGATTGATTGGCATCAGTGTAAAATATTACACTCATGAAAGGATTCAAAAAATCATATAGTCTGAGTTGTTAATCTGTTTTATGGTTTGAGAAATTATGCAGAACTTTCCTCCTTTAAAACTTGAGTATCCTGATATGTGAAGTATCCTAATATTTTAAACATTCCATAACAGATAACTTGACTGAAGATTTGTGAATTATTAATTGAAATTACCCTTTTGTGATAGCACAATTGCTTTGGTTGAGATTAAATACTTTACACAGGTAGACAGGTGGAATATTTTTGCACTTTGATATATAACACATGTATGCATATATCCACACATTGTAGCATTGCCATTTTTATCATCAACTTTGTTTTAACAATAGCTAATAACCTGCTGATCACATCTCGAATCAATATTTTTATACCTGACTAAAAAGCAAAATATTGTTCATTTAGATAACAATTTTCTTTATTTTGTATAATCCATTTCCTGGAAATGTTTTACTAGAAGTTGATTTTCTTTATTTTCTATGACGATTTCCTGAAAATGCTTTCACTCTAGAAGTAGATTTTCTCTCAAACTTGAGTGGTGTTATTAATTATATGGGGTTTCTTCCAGCCCATGATTATCACCGAGCATTTTTTCTCGTGTATTACAGGTCTCAAACGATTCAGTTGTTGGACAAGTTCTCTAAGGCTGGTGTGTTTGAGGAGGTGAAAACTAGGAGCAGCAGAGAACCATTTGAGGACAATGGCAGACTTTACAGGTACATTATGGACTGGTGTATGACAAATGAAATTATAAATAAAAGGAAATTGAAAGCAAGTGATTTTGAATACCAGTGGTCTCCCAAGTAAAGCTAAAAATTTAAATATTACGTGTCACCTTGTTGAAAACACATTTGTTAAAATGAAAACATTGTAAAAGAGTGAAATGTCGATTTATTTTGACCAAAATAAGTAAAGTTTGGATTTAGCAACATGTTGAAAGAAATCATGGGGAGATCACTGGATACTCCTAAACTAATGAACTAGATTATATAAATCAATATTTTTAACAGGTACCCTTAGAGTCTGAAAAAATACCAGAATAATAATATTTTGTTCCCAACTCATCTATTGTGCTAAACTGAGTATTATATAAACTGATGAAATTTTTCTCAATTTTAGATTCACCCATTCATCTCCTATTAAGAGTCTGCGGACTCCACTGTCTACACGTACCAACACAATTCGTCATAATCCAAACACAGGAGGTGCTAAGATTGATCCTGATAAGCTGAAAACTGTGACATGTGTACCAGAGACAGGGATACCACAATGCCGCCTTGTGGCTAAGAAATTGACTAATGATGAAATTGAAGAGATTTGGAAAACTATGTACATAGCCAGGTTTGTGAAATATTTCTAACTTTTATCATGGGCTTTCAACTATACTCTAATTGAAACCCCATGCTTTTATAAATAAAGTTTCTACTCTGCATAGTCTTAAATTTTTCACATTAAATTAATTTACCTAATGTGTATGGATGCTGAAACTTTTAAACTTGTATAAAAATTTGTTATGCTGTAAAATAATCTTGTGTCGGGTCCCTGTGTACCCCCTCATACACCTCCACACATACACTATAGCTACAAAGGGGAACAGACTCTTTTGAATGTTGTTTCATTGACTTGTACTGTCTGTACATGTAATTTACCTGTATATTATGGTATCTTTTCCAACGTGTATTTTATAGAAATACAAATCAAGACTCAACCAGGGATATTATGTCATGTTTGAATTAATCAAAACATGTTTTTCTATATTGTGTGCATTCCTTTATTGTTTAGAGTTGACAAGGTGCTAGGAATGAGCTGCACTGATGGCATTCTGAATGATGACCAAATTACCACAAAACACATAATTCACAATATGACTCTCGTTAGCAAAAATGGAGTCGTCAGCAATATTAAAAAAGAGGGTAGGCAAAAATTGTCACATTTCTGTCATAAATAACAAGAGACTGATTGATTATATTTGGAATGTTATTTTCAAATTGATGACACCAGATTCGCTCAAATAAGTAAAATTAAGGATAAGCTATTTATCATTAGATATCATTGAGTCAGTACCATGACTTGCATATGTATATGTATAAGAATGATACATACCACTTGATGATTGAATTGGAATTTTAAATCTATAAAATGTACTTATAGCTATTATTTTATATTTTGCAGATCAACTTCCCCATTGGGTAATGTCAGCAATGAAATGTCTCGCACAATGTAAGTTATGAAGTGTAAATAACTTATTATTAATAAATAAAAAACAAAGTGTCTCATACAATTTTACGTAGGGATAGCAAGTTTGTGTCCCATTTTTGGAATATTACAAATACTCATTCACCTATCAGAAAAACATACATTAATGAAGAATATATACACAGACTTGTAATGTTTCAATATACACTTCCAGGGCCTGATAGGATTGAGGAAGGCCTACCAAACTACCCAGGGTTTGAGAGGGATGTCTTCAAAGTTGTGCAAGACTACTTTAAGAACCTTCAAGAACCTTTAGTCACTTTTCAGCTTTATGATGTCTTTGCTAATATACTATGTAAGTGGATATTCCTTCTGTATTTTTTCTTGATGCCACCATTGTTCCAAATCATAAATCAATGATGATAATCTCCAAAGATTAAAGCCCTTAACTTCTTTGCATCAAAGATTGCTGTTCGATATGCCATGTCCTGTTGGCCTGCCTATTTTCTAAACTGTAAACAATAAGATATATCATACTTTATTTCAAATAAGCAGTGTCTCAAATGCAAAACAAAAACAAGATGACCCATATTCACCAGGTAGTTCATTAAGTTCAGGCAAAAAATCTCTCAAATTGCAACTTTCACACTACATATAGTAGAGATTTAGACATGAATAATGATTTGCTATTTCATCTTATGTTTCAATCTTATGTTTTTGGTGTTTCAGTGTGTTTTACTCATTTTTACTTAGTGCTTTTTTTCGATATTCCAGTACGTGGTGAGAACCTGAACAAATGTGCCAACAACAATGATTCAGTTGACAGCAACAGCTTTGGCTCAAGACCTGGCTCAAGTTTCCGATTCCCAAGCCGCCTGGCTTCATTCGGTTCTGTTGAGAACCTTCTAATGAACATGACAATGAATGCCCAGTCTTCAATGCTGGAGCCAGACACCCAACCTGATAAAATGACCCACCATCCAAGTGGAGCCAGTTTAGAACTTTCTAAAATCAATGCTGTTCCTGAAAGAGATTCAATATCAGAACAATATGATAGTAGTCCACGCTTGAAATTTGAGACTGCATTTTTCGGGCCTGACAACGAGGCTGTTACTCGTGTGTATGAAACACGGGAATTGTTTGAACGACAAGCTGCACAGGGAACCTCTCAGCCTTCTAGCTGGTTTAGCAGAGGCTCCATCTATTCCACTTCCAAATATGGTAGCACTTCAAATTTCGATTCTCTTAGAAATGTTCATACTGACTATAACTCCCCAGATTCTAACATAGCTTATGCCCAAAAATATTACTCAACCACTAACCTACTTGGTAACAATGGTAACAACCAGGAATATGTTAACGGTAATAATCATATCCGTCATTCACAGAGGTATTATTCCACATCTGACGTCAACAAGGATCATGGGAATCATTTTCAATCTGGTACCTTGGGTCAAAGATATGCAAATACTGACTCTCTGAGTACCTTGGGTAGCCAAGATTTGAGGTTTCAATCTACAAACACTCTCGCTAATGAAGTGTTTGTTGACGATTATGGGTACCAAGTGCCTATAAGACCACCAAGGCAAAGTATAACAAATCCACCCAGACATAACTCTGCACCAGGGACACCACAACAAAGACACATGTACAACCAGGGGACACCACTCAGTCGTGGATTCCAGAATACAGGGGGCCAGGGTCATTACCAGGGGATCTCCTCCAATCAATATGAGTACCAACGGGGCACCCCACCAGTGTATAAAGCACCCCCACGATACAACACTGGCAATGTTAACCATCAACCTGTGCTATGTGGAGCAACACTACGTGACCACAATATTAACACTAGCCATAACAACACAGGGGGTTCAAGTTCAAGCTATCACTCGGCACAGAGCCACCTCTCAGGGGATCATTCATTGGCAAATATAAGCAACCAATCAGTCGCATCCACCCCCGATGAAGCCCTACAGTTTCAACGAAGATTAGCCATGCCATACCGCACCAAGTCTGGATTTTCTCAAAGGGAGAATGAGTTGAATGTGCACCTGCATGAGACCCCTACTAACAGCAGGCCTTCTCTTGGAAGTACTACAAGTAAGGGTATTACTTGTCTTTTCACATTGCTTCATATTTCTCTATTTAATACAACTTGAAGCTCATCTTATATCAAGTCATAATGATAACCACCCTTACTTGTTTTCATATATATACTTTGGGGAACTTTAAAGCACATCTTCAACATACACTGTATAGTACAGCGAGTAACTACTGAGAATACATATATGTGTAGAAAGTGCACTAGTTGTTAACTGCATGGGCTGTTGTTGGTCGGTAACTAAAACAACTAATCTATATTGACATTGTAATTATGAAAAAGTAGACCTTTAGACCCTCAGAGATTTTTTTGAACTATTGTAAGAATTGGAAGAGTGTATTTTTTTATAATGAACCTACCAGGGCCTGAATTTGTATCACATCCATGGTCTCATTAAGTTTTATACAGAAATTGATTTAAAATTGAAGTTCCCCCTTTATGAATCTTTTGCTAAATGATGAATATTTTTTTTTAATTGAATGTACAATCTTTTATTCACCGTTGTTTGTTTTTCTCTCCCTTTGCAGGTCTCTACTCTCCTGGAGGCCACAGCAGAATACAAGAATCCCTGCAGATGGCCTGCCTCCTAATTCCACCAGCCAACAGACGTAAACTCCATCTATTGTTCAGGTTGATGACTAGGATGTCTGAAAACCCAAAACTCCAAGACTTGGAGCCCAACTTGCCAACAAGAAGTTTGGTAAGATTGCTTTATACGTATGGTAATAGAATGTTACTTATACTAATACAGTAAATCCTGTCTAAGTTGAACACATTTGGTACTTCTAAAAGTGTTCCTCTACTTATAAAGGTCCATTTAACATTAAATCAGTTGGTCTTTGCACTCTTAATAGAGGTGTCCCACTTCTAGAGGTGATCTACTCTACAGATTTCACTTTACATGTATTTCTTATAACATTTTGAACAAGATTCCAACAAAGACTAATCATAATAAGCATTCTCACCATGTTTGTAAGCAGCATTTATTTGTTTATTGAATTAATAGTACAAGTAGATTTGACAAATTATACAGCATTATCTCGTTCATGTTTTCAGATGTTACAGACATTTACACGATGTATCATCCGGAGTGAAAAAGAGGCTGACCTTGACGAGCAGATGACATTGAGGCTGGTCACATTTCTGTTGGATAACTACTCAGAAATCCTTAAAGTTCCAGAGGACTTCAAACTTGATACAGAGAACAAAATAGCACATGTTAGAAGATCAAGGGTAGGTATTGTTTCTGGGAATGGTGGAATCTTTGACCAGTGAACTAATTTCAGCACATTTCTGGGTCTCTATGGGTTTTCTAGGTTATGTTCTTTGTTTTCGATTTAAAATGCTAAGAATTTGGCTTTAACAAAGATAAAGAAAATGAAAAGAAAATCTAACTGTTGAATGGGAAAGTAATGAAATCGTGTTCACTGTGAAAGATTGTTCCTTATATGAATATAAGCTGCACAAAGGCGAGGAAAAAAATGATGAATATCTTGTTGCATTTTTGAATGTCAATCTTGTTGCATTTTGACTATTAACATGCATGGAACTTCATAGATATTAGGTTTTACAATACTCAAGGTATCTTAGTATAAATGTATTCCCTGTTGTTATTAGATTAAAGGCACAACCATACTAATGGATGATAATGTGCCTTTTGCTATAATCTCTATATGTAGTAGGTAATAACTATAGTTAACTGTTATGCACAATTACAGCAAGCAATACTAAATAAATACAGTAAATATATGTTACCTAACAAATACAGTATCTGCAAGGAGTCAGGATCCCCTCCCCTCACTTTCCCACCTCATAACTGCACTTGTCCTATATGTCATCCCACACACACCATACTTAATCAATGTTTACCATACTAAATCAATGTTTATTGGTTATATTCGGTTTTAGAATTCATTGTCATGTTTGTGCTTGGTTGGTTACCAATATTTTTATTTAATTTTTTTTATTTGCATTTATACTTACAGTAAAATTAGTGCTAGATTGCATTATTGGATGTGTATTTATAGTGCATTATTTGTTTGTTATTTATATTTTTATTATTTATTTATATGTAATTGTGCTATTTTGTGTCTCGCATGTCTAAGCTAATGCATGGTGCTTGCTTTACTTTGATAATTACTAATGAGCATGAGATAAAATACTATTTTTATGCTCATTGTCATTTAGGATATGTTTATTTAGGGCTCATAAGATTCATACATTTGGGCAATGAATTGATCACTATAGACATGTTAAGAGCAAATTTTATTAAAAATTTCCAAAAATTATTATTAATGCCTCAGTATGTTTCCCTTTTCGATTTAATTCAAAATCTACATTTTCTATATTTTTTAATGATTTGATCCTGAAATTGCCATATTATACTGAAAACCCCCCTGTAGTTGCTAAATGATTTTCACAGACATTATCTCAAGTACATATAAGATAAAAATCAATTACTGTAAATTGTAAAGATGGCAGTCCCAGTCAACAACATACTAAATATAATTTTATTTCTTTCATTGCTTATACTTATAGTAATATTTTCAAACAAATTGTAACTTAAAACTTATTGATTTGAGAATTTTATTTTGGAGTACTTTTTGATTATTCATTTATATTATTACCAGTATATAGTTTCAGTCTTATTGCCCCTTTACTCAAATATAATAGCCCTATTAGGAGATTGGAATGAAGAACATGCATGTTTTCCTTGATTAAGACAGAGACAAATGAAACAGTATGTCTCTTCATAAGAGTACATTTTTAGTGGATACTAAGGCTAGAGTAAATAAATAATTGTTAAGTATTTTCTAGCTCCCTTATTTATTTCAATGAAGTCCCTGTAAAAATAATAACATCAACCATGAGGAAATGGGGTTGTACCTAGTAGGAAAATAGGGGAGACAGGGCAAATGGGTGGGAGCAGGATGAGAGGTTTCTCCTTTGGGAGAAAATGGGAGATATAGTTAATGTGGCAGCTTAAGGATGTCATCACATGGCCTCATCACTGGATGGTAAAATTGAAACCCTTTGTGAGACTTGTGTGTTGCTGTGTAGTGTAGTGTGCTTTCTATCTATCTTCATGTTGTTCTATCCCACATCTCCCTTACACTTGCAGATAATGTATTCCTCCGTTCAAGACAAAACCAATCAGGTCACTTATTGTGAACAAATTTCGCAGGACGAATATGAGTCGCAGAAACTGAGTTCCTCCCAATTGGCGATCGCTAGTCTGCTTGATGACATCATCAACCATCCACGAATGAGTGAGAAAGACAAGAAGAAGAAACTGAAGCAGTTCAAACTTACATACCCTGCTGTCTATGAGAGAAAGTTTCCTACGCATGCACTGGAAAAAGAAGCGCTTCCAAAAAAACCGAAAATCAAGAAACCCCTGCTGATTACTCAATCCTTGTCAAAGTTAAAAGCAATGAGATTCTAGAAACATATAGATACAACTGAACTGCTTTTTCTCATTTTCTCATTTATGTAATTGAGAAACTAAATTCACTTGAAGAATGAATGCATTTTAGTATAATCAGATATTATTGTAATATCTTAATAATAAGTATAATTTTACATTATATAGTCATGCAGTTTACCTCAAAATAGTTGTATGTTCAAATGTGTTCAATGTTTCTACCTGTTTATTGTTGTGTTCAGTGTTACAAAGTTTTCAAATAGTTTTGTCAATAAATTATGTACAGTTGTAAATAATCAAGAGCATTTTGTAATATTTTCAGCAATTTATTAGATGTTATTTAGTGGAATTCAATTTTTGTAGAAACATCATATGATTCAATGTCATTTCTTTAAATGATATAATGATACTAAGACTTATTTGGAATGAATCTGTTTATATTTCAGTTTTTCTTTATAAATGGCAACACAAAACAAATCAAGTAAAACATTACTTGTTATAGTACTTTATGAATGATTTAATAGGTTGGGTGTTAGTCCCACATTGTGACAAGGTGTACTTCATTAGACTGTGCAATGGTATTTATAGTGTATACTTCTTGCACTTTTAGGTGTAATTAGTAATAATCAGAGAGTGAGAATGTTCTAAACAAAGTATTTTTTAGTTGATGTGTTCACTTTATCATTTTAGTTCATATGTCTGAAATTGTCATTGTAACACATACACTTCCAGAGTATATTTCATATGTGAAGAAGATCTGTTGAATAATTTAAAACATGTAAGATTCACATGCATTATTTTGCTGATGATTTGATTAAGTTTCACAAATTAGTAATGCTACCAATTATACCAATGGAATCTGGCTCGATGTGTTCTTAGTCCAGTATTCCTGTTACATGTTTTGTTATATTCAAATATCAAATTCTGTTCATTTGTCAAAGCATGTTAAATTCATAAGCATGATAATCATTATTAGAAAATGTTTAATTTATGTATGTATTATGTATATTTGTATGTTATGTAAATATGTGTATAAAATACCATAAAATATAGTATATATATAATTATAGTCTGGTATCAAGTCTTTGTGTTAGTTCCCTTTCTTAGAGAGGGAAAGACAGTTCTAGTTGTAGGCTTAGAATTTAAGACTATAATTCAAGACTATAGTTCAAATTCAAAATAGACTGGTAGATAAAATACTTTTACAAAGGGTGATCTTTTTCATTCTTTTTTCAAAGGTATAAATAATTACAAGCATCTTTACTTTTAGTGTATACAAACTAGACCCCAAATTATCAATTTATAACTCAGGTGCTTTATCTCCCATTTTTATGTGACAAAGTTGTACTAAAACTATAATAGTTATGATAAGTGTATCAGTCGTGATACTACAGACAAATAGAATGCAATGATTGTGACCCTTCCTAACATTGATTGGTTGAATGAATGTTTGGAGAAGTTCCTAATTTTTATGTGACAAAGTTGTACTAAAACTATAATAGTTATGATGAGTGTATCAGTCGTGATACTACAGACAAATAGAATGCAATGATTGTGACCCTTCCTAACATTGATTGGTTGAATGAATGTTTGGAGAAGTTCCTAAACTGGACCTTAAAAAACCTTTTAGAGAGGCTCCGACCATCAACTGTCAATCATGATCACTTCTCAGAATTTCAAACAAATGTGATAGGCAGTTGATAAATTGAAGCTTTGTGTGAATTTCGATTGAGTCTGTTTTGGCAGTTTTGTGCTGAATTACATTTCTACCATAAGCATCCATTATTTCATTATCCATGGCATAATAAAACTACTCTCATGGTAGTTTAAGAATTATTTTGTCACACATAGAATGAAATGCTTCGAGCTTATTCTGGGCCCATTTTTGGTCACCCTGTAGTATCTGATATATTTATTTATCTACAGACAGGAGCAGAATGGTTTAGTTTTACAGTGGTCATGACTGAACTGTTCATAATATGTTGGTCAAGATATACCTTGGGTCATAAATATGTGACCATCAATTAGTTTTGAATTACATCATGTCTATAACATTTTGAATATAGGGAAAGATATGGGCACTTATTTCAAGACTATAACACAAGTGTAAATTGAGACTGTTATAAATACTTAATACAGGTTTATCATATTGTTTCCAAAAATTAATAATGTTGACCTTTAGTTGCCATGGTGTATGTGAAGCACATGTACTTATCAAAAGCAGAAGTAAGTCAGTTGGTCAAGGACTGGAGATAATAGTGTCCTTTGCTCGTAACTTATCATAAAATACTGACATCTGAGATATAATCCTGCAGTAAAATTATTGATTTGCCTACCCCCTTGACAGATTGAAGTAGATTTGCTTAGTATATCTGATTCAGTGTTTTTTTGTTTTTAACATTTCTTTTCATAAAGTTAACTGAGGGGACCAGGCAGTTATCCAAGATTGAAAATTAAATGTCACATTTGTAAAAATAAAGCTTGATTATAATTTTACTTTCAAAATTATCAAAAAATCTTTTCAGAAAAGGTTTCTTTACGACATGTTGAACATTTCAATTCACATCTGTTCCGGCAACAACCTTAGGACCTGCATCATCTGTTCTTTCCTGGGTACTATTATATCCCAATGGTCTAGTGTTTTGGCTTCTTAGTGCATAACCATTTGCAAAATGAACTGACACGCATTGTGCCCTAAAATGCATTGTGCCCTAACTATCAGGTTAGGAGGGCGGGCTACCAGTACATTTACAGTTGTTATATCATTCGACATGACTGTTTGTAATATTTCTCAAACAAGTATATTGTGTTTTAGTGGTAAATATTACAGTGGATATATTTCAAACATGTTTTGTATAAAGTTTGAGTGAGATAGATGTCACGTATGTACTAGCTGAAGCATATTTCTGTTAAAATAACCATTTTGTGAAATTTTTTAACTAAGCCCATGTTTAGAAATTTTGCTTTAACTGTAAAAATTCATAATAAATTGTAAAATTCAAAATATTGTATACAGTAAGTAAGACTTGATCTAAGGAACGCTATATGGACGAAGAGGTAATGCATACTGTACTCCCAGTATTTTTCGCGTGCGATTTATTTTACCACAACCGCGAAAATTGATCTTCGGGAAATTGTCAGTTAAATCCTCCGGGATTTGTGAAATTCTTATTACCTGGATCCATTGAATTCCATTGCGTTTCATGATTTGTAAAACATTTGTTCAGTTTTATTAGCCAATAAATGTGATTCTAAGCAATATTGTCTTTTACAGTGTCTTGTTCGATCAAACATACGAAAAATTACGATGAAATAGAGGTTACTGTACATGAGGTTATTTATTTACAGGGCTTGAGGATTCAGATTTTAATTTGTGAAATCCGCGAAATTTAATAGCCACGAAATCATGTTTTCTTAAAAAACTCGCGAAATTAACTGGGAGCACAGTAAATCACATTGTTTTCATGCTGTGTGTAGTATATGTTATAGGCCTTGGATTTGAAGTCTATAGCCTTGCACATGTTGTAATAAATCGTTTCCCACTTGGCTGTATACTCTATATATTGATAAAACCTTGGTCTGAGGTAAAGGTTATATGGTGATTGAATGGGTTATTCAGATATTCATCAAGTGAATATCTTTGAATTAATCTCCAAGGTTCTCTAGGAAATACGATGCATTTAGATGAAGACATTTAATTGTCATGTGAAATATTGAAAATGATTCTCTCATTCCTGCAATATTTGTAATGATACTGAATGTAAGTGATGGAACAAATATACCTGTTGGTAGGCAATGTTGAATTTCAAATAAAAGATTTACTATGATTATTAATTAAATGTGTTATTTTGGTACTATCAAATATGGAATGTTGTATTTTATAAAGTGTTTAAGTTTATAATCCTGTTTCAAATTGAAATCAATGTGAACTAAAGCATATTAACATGACAAAATGTCACCACCTTGTAAGTTATTGCAAATTGTTACAGTCGCTGAACTCTGTATGCTGACCACCAACAATATAATAGAGGTATGTCACCATTTTCACCATAAAGATTGATTATAAAACTCCAACTTATTTTACCAAAAGACAATTTAGTAATTATTAGTTTTGTCAGTCAATTAGTTTTTAGTACATTTCCAAATCTGAATTATTAAACTCTTATTTCAGCCTTACCACAATCCAAGCAATTGTACTTTTGAATTTAATAGTGAACAGTCAAATTCAACCAAAGTTGTGCGGGGATAATATGTATATCTAGATTTGCATCGCTACATAAGTTTGGCAACTTGAAGTCCCATTGAATAGCTTGTTAAAATCTGTTAATGTTTCAATTTTAGTTGTTATTTCATCACCAAGAAGTTTTGAAATATTTTTTTAACTTCCTGTTTCTCAATTTGTGGAAACGCATGGCATGGTCATGCAAAAATGGCATTGCCATTTGTTACAGACACCAACCACCATTTACCAGCCACAAAACACACACCAACCACAAAAAGTTATAGTCTGTGATGGTGGTGACAGTTGCCAAACTTATTTTTGAGGGGAGTATACTCAGAATACACATGCTAGAGACAACAAAAGAAGAGTAAACACAAGATAATTTATCAGCCTACTACAGTGCTCACCATAAATAAATGACACCTGGATTTGCTGAAGTGAGGATTTGCCATGTTAAAAATAAGAGAATTTTTAAGTGACCATACATTAGTAGTTGAGAGTATACAAAATATAAAACATACAAAATAAGGGATATTTATCTATCCATTATTGGAAAGTATGAAGTCTCAAATCACCATGGTCTCGGAATGGTGATAGAAAATCAAGATGCCATTTATTTATGGTGAGCACTGTAGAGCAACTGAGTGCCCTAAGAAAAAGAGGTTAATTATCTCATAGAACAAAGTTCGGGGAGACAAAGAGCACGCCGCTGTCTGGGCTATAACTCTGAGAGCGTTGACCTGATATTGTTCATGATTTACCCACCAGACACAGTTGATCATAACAATGGTTAAGGAATCAAATGACACATATTAAAGTGACATAAATTGCAATAAAACTTTGAAACCTTGAAAATTAAACATTTCCATCCATCTCTCATCCTGGGAGAGGATATTACTCATGATCATATGTGTTTATTAGGAGACCCTTGGTCTTTTCAGAGTTGGGTTGATAAATTATTACCCTGGGGACCTTACTTAGAAGGAAACATATTTTCTGAAGAGAAATGTCAATTTCATATACATGGTGACAAAATACTCATGGTCAAAGATATGAATGGCTAATATTATTCTCCACACCATACCCGGTCCTTTAAGCATTTTATACTTGTTATAATCATTTTATTCAGCCTATAAAGCATTCGCTTACACCATTACAAATTCCATTCAAAATCATTTCTGAACGTGACTAAAAATGATCCAGTCATTATCCAATGATGTGTCCTTGCTACCTAGATATAGTATTTGTTGACCTTCAGTGACTTGTTGGTCCTAAAAAGGTCTCAAGAAATAAAAATTCTGAGGGCAAGTATTGTCAAACAATATAGTCCATCTAGGGGGTCTCCATAACATTACTTAGAATCTTATGTGAAGTTAAATGTTTAGAAACGAATTGCACACAAAAATGGGTAGAGTGAACTTCTTAATATCTGGGTTATCACAGTATGGCATCATATAGAAAAGAACGTGGACACTTTGACCTAGCTGTTTATACTTTGTTCTACAAACATCTCATTCATAAGTTGATTATTTTGAATGAAAGGAATGGCGTAATTTGAACACATGAAACTTTTTAAAATATTAGTTCACTAATAGAGGGAGCAGCCTAACCCCATTTATTAGGCAGGCTACGCTGGGTATTTTCTATCGAATATATTTATTTCAATTGGTTAATTCTACTGAATATGGTTATTGTGAATTATCCAGAATACCATGTCAAGATTAATTTCAGATACGCAAATTCTACATTTCAGTATGTTGCCCGCTGAAATGAATTTATTAGTATTATTACCACCTTAAGCCCAGGGTTGAAATACCAAGATCAGATTGTCACTGAACGAAAATTATACACACTGAATGATAGCTCATTTCCCAGGGAACGTTTCGGCCCGCCACGACAGACCCCTGCAAGGTGGTAATAATTACAAATACAATATTTCAGCAACTAAGACTAATAAAAAGAACACAAAAAAGCTCCTTATCTTATTCTCATTTATATTTCCATTCTTATAAATATGCTTATAATTCTTTTTTTTAAATAGTGAAAAAATTTCCTTGTATTGTACACACTACACATATATGTATTCCCATGTTTATATTTGAAAACCTGAAGGCTTTTGGTATCACATTATGACAAATTTTCAGATATGGTAGGTTACTAAATGATTCAACTAAATATAAAAAATATTGTACCCAAGAAATCCATCAATTCGATGGCATAATATCTTCATATTTTTTTATTCAATTGTACTCTGATCGTCCTTACGTCCTTGCAAAGGTCCAGACACCATCCAGAAATAAAGAAGGAACAATGACGTGGATGGTGCCTGAAGCCTTGCACCTTCACAGAAGATGTGATACTTGGGATATAAGGCTTTTGAATTGTATTTTAACACAAGATGTTTCAGATGTCAATGGGCATGGTACAATGACTTAGAGTGTATGAATTCTGTATCAATGTTGTAAAAATACAGGATATATTGACACCAGACGTGTCAATCAGTTCACTAAAAATCTTTCCGTCATTAAATAATGGCATATCTCATGATTGTACCATATGAAGTGACGGGAATGAGTATGCCCCATCATCCCAAACAGAAATGTTTTCCATATGATCCTATATGATCAAAGTAAGTGTTCCTCACTCCGAATGTATTCACCTACATCTGCCTGGTGGAATGCTACTATAGTCATTGGGTCTGTGTGTCGGCATTCTTGTGTTGACTTGGCTGCAACTCCAAATCCCTGGAAAAACAATCAAATGATCAAATCAAGAGGCACATTGTAAAGGGACTAACACTTGGGGTCAGGCAGTTAACTGAAACCATGAATCTCTGACTGTCACGGCCTCGGCAATTCATTTGGTTCAGAAAAATCGTTCGGTTCGGTTTTTAATGGAATGTTAAGTGAGGCAAAATTACTCTTCTTAAATGCACATTGTTTAAATAACGTAGTTCGAAAAATGCCTGAAGTAAAAATTGCTGATCGATGTGAACGATACAGACAAAGGCGTTAAATAGAGTATTTAAACAGGCTAATTTTGTTTTTTTCTTTACCATAGCAGAATTTTTTTAGTGCGATAAGAAGAATAACAGAACCAAATACCAAACCGATGGGAGTCAAAAACTGAACCGAATCAAACCGAATATTTTGAAACAGTCTAACGATAATCGGCACACATAATGCACATAGTAACATTTAGAGCAGGGTGCACTTAGTACAGAATTTATCCGTGTAGCAGTACTCTAGCACTTAGACTTACTCCTAGTCAAAGTGACCTTGGTGCTTATGCCTGCCAAGACAGAGTGTCATTAAAAAAGTGGTATTGAGAGAAAGGGCTCTTGCTAGGCTTTTGGACTGTGGCCCAGCACCAAAGTTTATTTAGCCCTCCCCACAACCTATTGGCAAATCATGATTGTTTCCACAGTCTAAACTTGACTAAATACACAACAATAGCATGTTAAAAGGATAAAATATAACATAAATATGATACATCACGACTAAACTGGTTATGCTGAAGATGTTTCCAGCACACCCTTTCCTGGTGAGAGAGCGTTTGGGTCCCCAGTTGTAAGGTGTCAAAGATTACATTTTTCACAAAAATGGCTACCATTTTGAAATCAGTGGCCATATTGAAAATTTCTTCTCGACAAGAGGTCCTACACCAATACAGCATAAGCCTATAAAATTTGAACCAAATCAGTTGACCTGTTTTTGAGTTATCGCCCAGACACACAAATGAATGGATGGATGAACAGATGAATGGATGGACGGCTTCTCTATCTCTACGAACTTTGTTGGGATAATTAAACCTCTATAAGTTTTAACCTATACATGTGCAACCATTAAAAAATTATGTTTTGTTTCTTATGATTGTTTACTTAGCATCGCCCTTGAAAAACATGTCAGTTTTAAAATAAAAATATTTTTCAAAATGTCATGTCCACCTTGACATATACCTACCAACAATGTCAACAAATACAGTGTGAGCCAAAAATGGTAATCCAAACTAATCTTATTAACTCAGTCATCCGTTTGGCATCAAATTTGGCACAATTAAACCTAGTTCAGTGTTCTTTCATTCCACCAAGTTTCATTGGTCTAGTCTAAATGGTCAAGATTTTATGATCATTTTACAAAACATGCTCGAAATGCCGATCTTGTCTCAATGCAAACTTGAATACATAGGGTGAAGTTTTCTGACTACACGCTCACAGATATCTTGTGCAATGGCTCTCATTTTTCTTTTCTTTCAACTCTCTGGTGCTTCTAGGGTTGTTAGTAGAGGTGTCATGGAACAAGAAAAAGTCAGGAATGGTCCAGTTCGGAACATTTGGCTTCGGAACGGAACAATTTCGGAACGGTTCTGGAACAAAGTGACTATGTGTATTATACTCTAACTTGCCTCATTTATTGTAGGACAAGATCTAGTCATTTGCAACAAAACTACTTAATTTTGCGAGTCTATGAACAATGACTGGATATCTAGCTTGTACAGGAAATAAAAAAATTAGATCTACGTGTCCTAGAAGTAGATCTCCAAATCGAACTGGGAAGAAAAACAAAAATTAACGATCAATTCACCTCACTCTGGTCCCGCTGAACCTAACCCCGATCAAGGGATTATCGCAATATTTCCAAACATGGATTTTCCAGTCCTTCGAAGCGTCTTCAATACATACATTGTTTCTCAGGTTTCAGCAGGTTTTGAGTTTAGCCTCCGCCATGATCAGTGCAAAGTCGCTGATCATACTACTCGAGAAAGATAAATCCTCAGCATATTTAGTATGTATAAAATAAGTTGATCGACTAGGTCTACCTGGTAGCAAAAACCTTTTGAAATCTCTTCAACGAGGAGTGAAAAAATGGACTTCTTTCGATGACAAATGTGTAAAGGTAAGATTTTCTTGTTCCGGAATCAAACCGAAATGTTGAATAATTGTTCCGTGTTTGGACCCGAGAGTCTAGTTCCGCGGAACGGAACAAAATCAGGTATCCGTGACACCTCTAGTTCTTAGTTTACATTATCTTTGAGCATGTTTTGTAAAAAGACCAATGAAATTTACTAATGAAAGAAGAACACTTGGTTCAATTGTGCCAAATATGACTTAAAACCAATACTAGATGACTAAGTTATTAATATTTGTTTGGGTTGCCTTTTTGGCTCACCCTGTAGAAGGTTTTTATCACATGGGATCAGAATAAATGCAACTATAGACTAAAGAACTCATAGCCTTAATACACTATAACCAGAACAACGGCAACGCCAAAGCGTAGCGAATCCCATCGAACAGCCATGGAAGGCATTTTTACAAATAACAAAGTATATAGCAAAAATGGCAGGCATTTTTCAAAATGGCCGCCTTCTACCAAAAGTGTCATTAGACCATTTGCCATACTTATAGTATTCACAAACCAAATATGAACAAAATCGCTCCACTACTTTTCGAGTTATAGTAAAATATGTTAAAATGGCGGCCATTTTGAAAAATGGCTGCCTTCTACCAAAAGTGTCATTAGACAGTGTGCCATGCTTACAGTATTCACATGCCAAATATGAACAAAATCGCTTCACTACTTTTCGAATTATTATAAAATACATTAAAATGGCGGCCATTTTTCAAATTTTTTTTCAAAATGGCCACTTTCTACTAAAAGTGTCATAAGATAGTGTGTCATGCTTTTAGTATTCACCTACCAAATATGAACAAAATCGCTCCACTACTTTTCGAGTTATAGTAAAATACGTTAAAATGGCGACCATTTTTCAAAATGGCCGCCTTCTACCAAAAGTGTCATTAGACAGTGTGCCATGCTTTTAGTATTCACCTACCAAATATGAACAAAATCGCTCCACTACTTTTCGAGTTATAGTAAAATACGTTAAAATGGCGACCATTTTTCAAAATGGCCGCCTTCTACCAAAAGTGTCATTAGACAGTGTGCCATCCTTATAGTATTCACATACCAAATATGAACAAAATCGCTTCACTACTTTTCGAGTTATAGTAAAATAGGTTAAAATGGCGGCCATTTTTCAAAATGGCGGCCATTTTTTAAAATGGCCACTTTCTACCAAAAGTGTCTTTAGACAGTGTGCAATGTTTATAGTATTCACATACCAAATATGAACAAAATCGCTCCACTACTTTTCGAGTTACAGCAAAAATCGTAAAATAACGAGTAAAGGCCGCCATTTTTCAAGATGGCTGCCATGTGCTTCTTTAATATCTACATTTCTAGCTTTATTAATGTCCTATATAATTTTTCTACATCTAAAACATATTGCTATTACAGTTTTACATATTGCACCTAAATTACTGTAAATTCGGCACTAAAATGGCCGCCATTTTGAAATGAGCGGCCATTTTGAAAATCAGCTTTCGAGCAGAACTTCTACCCCCATAGGGTATATGTGTACAAAATATGAACAAAATCGGGCCAACGGTATTTGAGTTATTGCCCGGACGGACGGACGGACGGACGTACGGACGGACGGACGGACGGACAGACGGACGGACGGAGGCGTTCCCTATATCCCTCCGAACTTCGTTCGATGGGATAATTATTATTCATTCAGAAATCACATCCCAGCAGGTTGATTTTTTCATCAATCTCTTAAAGACCTTCATTCACACTCCAGTGACAGCCAATTGTGTTAAATTTTAGATTTTTGACCAAATTTCTTTCAAAATCATGCAGTTTTCACCATTTTGAGCACTTTCCAAGTGATTTGGGGAAACCCTGTCAAATATGAACCCCCTGGATTTTTTAAAAACTGAACCCCCTTGGCAAAAGCTGGCTTAAGGCCTGGAGGTGCCTTTAATTAGTAATAATTATGACTCTAAAACTACTCCCATTGTATTTGTATGAGCACATGGTAAAACATGTGAGTTCAATGAACTGGTCACATGCTTTGTCATGTGATTTCATATTTTCACATGCTAATCCATGTGCTTTTAGGTATTTTTCTATTTCTATATTGGAATACCATGTACATGTATGTATATCACATGTTTAATAATGTGCTGAATTAGTGATTTGAGCTTTGTTTTAATATTTATCAGGACTTGATACAAATATCACTGAGTTAATCACAATTAGAATGATTAAACCTAAAAAGCAGTTTTGTATTGTATTGCCCCTTAAAGGTACCATCCGCATAAGATTTTCAAACCTTCTATTTGGAACATAAATTCAAAATATAATTTTCATGACAAACACAGTTTGTAAATAATTCATTCATCGCTTTGATCTATTAATTAGGAAGATGTTTGAAATTCACAAATAACTTATTTACATTCAATAGATTTTAAAAATTAACGAATTCATATATGTCATAATTCTCTATTTAAAAAATATAGACTTCAGAGCAGGTGTAATATCGACGAATACATACTGCAGGGCTAAGCACATTTTTTCTGTAAGCTTTTGTGCCTAGCCATACGGTATGTATTCGTCGATGCGATATAACACCTGCTCTGAGGTCTATATTATGATTCAAACATGGAATCTCATTAAAATTTTTCGAATATTCATGTTGGCCCGCCATTACTACGACCCGCCATTATGATGTCACACATTACTCATATTACCAGGTGCAGTGTCGATGAATACATGCCGGGTGAAAAATTGACTTTGTTCACAGTTTAAAGAAGGCGTGAAAACAATCATGTTTGAATTGTTAATATTATATATATACTCACCAATGGAGTGTCATTCATTGCACACACTATAATGCCCTGGTATTGTTGAGTGTTCTCTGTTATTCTGCCTAGACCATTCTTCATGATGTGGTGCCCATATAGGAACTGCTGCTCAGCACTAGGCTTTACCCAAATTTTAAACTGAAAATAATTTTTCATAAATAACAATAAACAACTCGCTTGATAATTAGTCCCGGGTAATTAGTATATCCCTTTGATATATAACATGGATAGCAGTTTTTAATTTGAAACACCAGTAACTTTAAAAATGACAATTGATATAGCATATTTCACAAGATTGACTGACTAAAACATTGAAAAAAGACAAGGCATTAACATGACAAAATGTCACCACCTAAAACAATTTGGTCAATTTAAAGCAAGTTGGAAAATACCTTTTGATCTTAAGAAGGTTTGATTTGAACTTCTTAGAACTTGTAGATGATTTTGAAAAAAAATTCGTCAATTTGAAGCAAGTTGAAAAAAGACCTTTTTGACCTTGAGAAGGTCATTGAAGGTCAAAGGTCAAATCTAAAGTCAGATTTGAACTTCTGAAAAGATGTAGACGATTTTGAAAAAAAAATTTGGTCAATTTGAAGCAAGTTGAAAACAGACCTTTTTGACCTTTTTTGACCTTGAGAAGGTCATTAAAGGTCAAATGTCAAATCTAAAGTCAGATTTGAATTTCTGAGAACACGTAGATGATTTTGAAAAAAAAAATTAGTCAATTTGAAGCAAGTTGAAAAAAGACCTTTTTGACCTTTTTTGACCTTGAGAAGGTCATTGAAGGTCAAATGTAAAATCTCAAGTCAAATCTAAAGTCATATTTGAATTTCTGAGAACATGTAGATGATTTTGAAAAAAAAAATTAGTCAATTTGAAGCAAGATGAAAAAATACCTTTTTGATCTTTTTTGACATTGAGAAGGTCATTGAAGGTCAAATGTCAAATCTAAAGTCAGATTTGAATTTCTGAGAACATGTAGATGATTTTGAAAAAAAATTTAGTCAATTTGAAGCAAGTTGAAAAAAGACCTTTTTGACCTTTTTTGACCTTGAGAAGGTCATTGAAGGTCAAATGTCAAATCTTAAGTCAAATCTTAAGTCAGATTTGAATTTCTGAGAACACGTAGATGATTTTGAAAAAAAATTTAGTCAATTTGAAGCAAGTTGAAAACAGACCTTTTTGACCTTGAGAAGGTCATTGAAGGTCAAATGTCAAATCTAAAGTCAGATTTGAAGGTCAAATGTCAAATCTAAAGTCAGATTTGAATTTCTGAGAACATGTAGATGATTTTGAAAAAAAATTTAGTCAATGTGAAGCAAGTTGAAAAAAGACCTTTTTGACCTTGAGAAGGTCATTGAAGGTCAAATGTCAAATCTAAAGTCAGATTTGAACTTCTGAGAACATGTAGATGATTTAGAAAAAAATTGAAGTCAGTCTAAACAGTATTTGTTAAGTCATAGGAAGTTGTAAGAAATTGTTACAGACGCCGGACGCCGGACGCCAACCGCCGGACACCAACCGCCGGACGCCAACCGCCGTCGCAAAAAAAAACGGAGACCATAACAATATGTCACCACTTTTGGTGGTGACATAATAACAAATTACATCAACATTATGTAACAGAATCACTGAGACTTGACCAAACTCTATTAGTGACTTAATTTGTTCACGGAGGTCTGCTTACTGAACCAACTGCAGTGATATATGAAAAATAGGATATACCTTGTGAGCTAGACTGTCAAGTGGTAAATCTTCTTATAATGTTGTTTTACTGAACCCAGCGTTTATATGGTACTACTAGAGATATAAAATATTGTAGATATTATCTTTCATACCTTAGCATATGGGGCGAGGAAATCTAATGCTGTTACATGAAGACGGAATTTTCCTGATTTGGTGAATTTGCCGAAACAGGTTCCGAAACTCACAAGATTTTCCCTCGAAGCATGAGCTGCTTTTTTCATGAGGTCTTCTCTGTAATAAATAACAAAAAATACTTTTGACGATTAAGATGGGAAAACATGGGTCAAATCATATTTACATATCCATTCAAAATATGTTATATAAAATAAGCTAAGTTCAGTAGCATAGCCAGGAAGAAAAAGCGACAAGGCGAAAAATATTACTCGTTGAAAAAAGCGACAAGGCAAGAGCCTCGTGTGCCTCATCCTGGCTTCAATACAACATTTCCATTATTTAGATTAAAAATGGTGGCTATGTAAATCAGACAGAAATATGAATGGGAATTATGATGGAAATAGAAGAACACGATGATAAACCGGGATGATAACCCTTTACGTGATGAGATTATGCACAATTGAATCAGAATTTGATGACTAAAACTAACAAGCCACAGGGTGAACAGAATCGCACCCTTGAACAGAATACACTTTTCGGGAAGGAAAATTCAAAATGGCCACCTTAACATTTACCCAGACTGACTAAAAACTAATCAGTTCTAAACATTCCATAGAAACATCTCTAAAATTTTAGGATGAATCCATGAAACCTGTAAACAACCCTCAAGAGACACGTTTTAAGGTATTACTCCAAAGTGTATCAGCTTTTTTTCTACAATTCAGATTTTCCTGAAAAAAATCCTGGTGAAAGATATACTGACTAGAATACTGATGTATTACAAAACAGGCCCGTAGCCAGGATTTGCCAAGGGGGGGTTCACTTTTTGGAAAATTCCAGGGGGGGGGTTCACTTTTGACAATTTGGGTCCAAAAAGGGCCAAAATCACTTAAAAAGTGCTCAAAATGGTGAAAAACTGCATGATTTTGAAAGAATTTTTGGCCAGGGGGGGGTTCGCCCGAACCATGCGAACCCCCCCTGGCTACGGGCCTGCAAAATATGTGAAAATTGGAATGATTGACCGTTTAGTTATTTCTAAAAAAAATGTTTTAATTTAAAATTGCTCTCAATGGGAAATTATTTTTTATTTTTTAAAACAAGCCTTCACACAAGCCCTCACAGACACGATTTTAGGACGAAAAATCCAAAATGGCCACCTTAACATTTACCAACAAGAATGCCGAAAAACTAATCAGTTCTAAACTATAAAATGTTTTAATTTAACATTGCTCTCAATGGGAAATTATTTTTTATTTTTTAAAACAAGCCCTCACAGACACGATTTTAGGACGAAAAATCCAAAATGGCCACCTTAACATTTACCAAGAATGCCGAAAAACTAATCAGTTCTAAATATTTATAGGTAGGAACATCCCTGAGAATTTCAAATGAATCCCTCAAACGGTTTGGCTGGAAACCTGTAGACAAGCCTTGACAGACAAAATTTTAGGACGGAAAATCCAAAATGGCCGTCTTAACATTTATCCAGAATGTCAAAAAACTAATCAGTTCTAAACTTTCATAGGTAGAAACATCCCTGAGAATTTCAAATGAATCCCTCAAAGGGTTTGGCTGGAAACCTGTAGACAAGCCTTGACAGACAAGATTTTAGGATGGAAAATCCAAAAAGGCTGCCTTAACATTTACCCAGAATGCCGAAAAACTAATCAGTTATAAACTTTCATAGGTAGAAACACCCCTGAGAATTTCAAATGAATCACTCAAAAGGTTTGGCTGGAAACCTGTAGACAAGCCTTGACAGACAAGATTTAAGTACGGAAAATCCAAAATGGCCGCCTTAACATTTATCCAGAATGCTGAAAAACTAATCAGTTCTAAACTTTCATAGGTAGAAACATCCCTGAAAATTTCAAATGAATCCCTCAAACAGTTTGGCTGGAAACCTGTAGACAAGCCTTAACAGACAAGATTTTAGGACGGAAAATCCAAAAAGGCCGCCTTAACATTTACCCAGAATGCCGAAAAACTAATCAGTTCTAAACTTTCATAGGTAGAAACATCCCTGAAAATTTCAAATGAATCCCTCAAACAGTTTGGCTGGAAACCTGTAGACAAGCCTTGACAGACAAGATTTTAGAATGGAAAATCCAAAATGGCCACCTTAACATTTACACAGAATGCCGAAAAACTAATCAGTTCTAAACTTTCATAGGTAGAAACATCCCTGAGAATTTCAAATGAATCCCTCAAACGGTTTGGCTGGAAACCTGTAGACAAACCTTGACAGACAAGATTTTAGGACGGAAAATCCAAAATGGCCACCTTAACATTTACCCAGAATGCCGAAAAACTAATCAGTTCTTAACTTTCATAGGTAGAAACATACCTGAGAATTTCAAATGAATCCCTCCTGTAGACTTGAAAAAAAATTAGAAAAATGTGAAAAAATTGAAGAAAATTAGAAAACTCTACCGGGTTTTATATAGGATAAAGCAGTTATGTACGATCGGTTTGGATATGGAGTTTATCCCTCGTGAGATATGCACATCTACCTTCGGTCCCTCAGGTTGATATACATATCTCCCTCTGGATAAACCCCATATCCAAACCTCCCAGTACATAACCCTTATTTATAGTCAAAATATGATATTTTCAGGAACATATAACTCATTCCATATATTGTCTTCATCTTTCAGTTTTACACAAAGAGTACATAAATGTACCTTCTGTGATATATGAAAATTCAGTGACCTTTTTAAAGTACAAGAATGAAGGTCACATCTGGTAGGTCTAAAATTCAAAATTACAGTTTTCAATATGCATAGTTGGATACTTTTGACAATTAAGATAGGAAAACATGGGTCAAATCATATTAACACATCCATTCAAAATATGTTATATAAAATAAGCTATGTTCAGTAGCGTAGCCAGGAAGAAAAAAGCGACAAGGCGAAAAATATTACTCGTTGAAAAAAGCAACAAGGCAAGAGCCTCGTGTGCCTCATCCTGGCTTCAATACAACATTTCCATTATTTAGATTAAAAATGGTGGCTATGTAAATCAGACAGAAATATGAATGGGAATTATGATGGAAATAGAAGAACACGATGATAAACCGGGATGATAACCCTTTACGTGATGAGATTATGCACAATTGAATCAGAATTTGATGACTAAAACTAACAAGCCACAGGGTGAACAGAATCGCACCCTTGAACAGAATACACTTTTCGGGAAGGAAAATTCAAAATGGCCACCTTAACATTTACCCAGACTGCCTAAAAACTAATCAGTTCTAAACTTTCCATAGAAACATCTCTAAAATTTTAGGATGAATCCATGAAACCTGTAAACAACCCTCAAGAGACACGTTTTAAGGTATTACTTCACAGTGTATCAGCTTTTTTTCTACAATTAAGATTTTCCTGAAAAAAATCCTGGTAAAAGATATACTGACTAGAATACTGATGTATTACAAAATATGTGAAAATTGGAATGATTGACCGTTTAGTTATTTCTAAAAAAAATGTTTTAATTTAAAATTGCTCTCAATGGGAAATTATTTTTTATTTTTTAAAACAAGCCTTCACAGACACGATTTTAGGACGAAAAATCCAAAATGGCCACCTTAACATTTACCAACAAGAATGCCGAAAAACTAATCAGTTCTCAACTAAAAATGTTTTAATTTAACATTGCTCTCAATGGGAAATTCTTTTTTATTTTTTAAAACAAGCCCTCACAGACACGATTTTAGGATGAAAAATCCAAAATGGCCACCTTAACATTTACCAAGAATGCCGAAAAACTAATCAGTTCTAAATTTATAGGTAGAAACATCCCTGAGAATTTCAAATGAATCCCTCAAACGGTTTGGCTGGAAACCTGTAGACAAGCCTTGACAGACAAAATTTTAGGACGGAAAATCCAAAATGGCCGTCTTAACATTTATCCAGAATGTCAAAAAACTAATCAGTTCTAAACTTTCATAGGTAGAAACATCCCTGAGAATTTCAAATGAATCCCTCAAACAGTTTGGCTGGAAACCTGTAGACAGCCTTGACAGACAAGATTTTAGAATGGAAAATCCAAAATGGGCACCTTAACATTTACACAGAATGCCGAAAAACTAATCAGTTCTAAACTTTCATAGGTAGAAACATACCTGAGAATTTCAAATGAATCCCTGAAACGGTTTGGCTGGAAACCTGTAGACAAGATTCTTCGGGAAAAAAACTTGAAAAAATTGAAAAAAAATTAGAAAAATGTGAAAAAATTGAAAAAATAGAAAAAAAACTGGAAGAAAATTAGAAAACTCTACTGGGTATTATATAGGATAAAGCAGTTATGAACGGTCAGTTTGGATATGGAGTTTATCCCTCGTGATATATGCACATCTACCTTCGGTCCCTCAGGTTGATATACATATCTCCCTCTGGATAAACCCCATATCCAAACCTCCCAGTACATAACCCTTATTTATAGTCAAACAAAATATGCTATTTTCAGGAACGCATAACTCATTCCATATATGGAATGGAAAATCCAAAATGGGCACCTTAACATTTACACAGAATGCCGAAAAACTAATCAGTTCTAAACTTTCATAGGTAGAAACATACCTGAGAATTTCAAATGAATCCCTGAAACGGTTTGGCTGGAAACCTGTAGACAAGATTCTTCGGGAAAAAAACTTGAAAAAATTGAAAAAAAATTAGAAAAATGTGAAAAAATTGAAAAAATAGAAAAAAAACTGGAAGAAAATTAGAAAACTCTACTGGGTATTATATAGGATAAAGCAGTTATGTACGGTCAGTTTGGATATGGAGTTTATCCCTCGTGATATATGCACATCTACCTTCGGTCCCTCAGGTTGATATACATATCTCCCTCTGGATAAACCCCATATCCAAACCTCCCAGTACATAACCCTTATTTATAGTCAAACAAAATATGCTATTTTCAGGAACACATAACTCATTCCATATATTGTCTACATCTTTACAGTTTTCACAAAGAGTACATAAATGTACCTTCTGTGATATATGAAAATTCAGTGACCTTTTTAAAGTACAAGAATGAAGGTCACATCTGGTAGGTCTAAAATTCAAAATAACAGTTTTCAATGTGCACAGTTGGACCCGTGTGGATGTAGAACATGTACGGAATGAGTTATGTGTACCTGAAACTAACATGGGGGTCCAATAAGGAAGAAATTGAGATTTTTAAGCATACAGGTAATCATTGAATTCTGTTTCACTGTGGGACGAAATTCTTGCTCAATCACTTTTTCAACGCATCAATATTTCATTTATCAGAAATTGATCATATATTACAACCATCCTACTCCAAACATAAGCCACCAGAACTCACACCTCATTCGCAAGAAGGAAGGAACATAGTGGATGAGATATCTGAGGCTCTGCATTCGGAAGGTGAAAGTCTACAAGGCCAAGGATATAGAATAGTATTTATTTACTCTGTTATCATTCATTTACTGTTCTCATTTATCAGAACATCAATATATCATACCACTTCAACTTAACAAGGCCAAGGATATAAAACAGAGTTTATTTACTCTGTTGATAAAACTATGATGTTCTAAATAAGATTTACATAATAGGCAGGACATTCATTTGAGAGATCTTATATTCTCTCAAGGTCAGGGTAACCAATAAGGTCAAGGTCAATCAACAGACATTCAACATCAATGTTTATTGTTTTTGACTATTTTTTAAAGGCCTTGCGCACAGTTTGAATATATAGTTTGATCATTCAAACATGACTTTTCATTAGTTGAAAAACTATTTAAACTCATTTGTTGAAAAACATGACTTTAAAAAAAGTTGTTCATCTCATTATTTTCAAATATAGTAGCCGAGACAACACAAGTCCCAAGTCTGTATTTTTACTCTCATTTCTTCACTTTTAAGAGTTAAGTCATCATATTTTGCATGCATATTCCTTGAAGAAATCCTAACATAGAATTTTATTGGTTTCGATTATAATTTATTTGTTAAAAATAGAGAAACATTTGATTTATATTGGTCCATAATCAGAATTATCCATTTTGTGTAACAAATGCAACATTTTGACGTCATTAATAAAAATTGAAGTTATAAATGATAGATACAATATGGTGCCTCTAATCTTATTGACAATAACTATCATCCTAGATATTTTTTGCCAGTCATCAGATCATGCATTGGAAGAGTACCCCAATGAGAAATGCATTCATTGATTGTGGTAAGCAGTGATTTGGCAAAACAGTGGTGGAGTCACACCATTATTTTGCCACATTTTGGTGCTTAATTTCCCCTTTAAGATCGTTTGTTACTACTGTGACGTCACAATATAGCATCTGACGTCATAATACGGGTACCAAATTAACGCACACATTACAAGCTTTAAGATGATACCAAATATTTCATCATTCATTTGATTAAAATGGTTACTGGAATAAGCCCAAAGGGTATGCCACTCCCCTACCCCATCCATTTTTCAGGAAATTGAAACACGCAAAAAATCTCAAATAATGCAGGCATCTTCAGGGGTCCTTTTTGGCCCCGTTTTATTTCAAATATCATGTTTCTGCATACCATTTTTCTCGGATATGTCTCAATTACCCCAAAATAGTTACACTTCTGTTGAAAAAGGAAACATGTGGTCAATTTGGAATTATTACACCAAAAGAAGTGATTTTTTATATAAAGTTAAAATAATGCATTTGTCGCTGAAAATGGCAAATTTTGATTATAGACCAATCAGAATCAAATGTTTCTCTATTTTCAACAAATAAGTTATAATCAAAACCAATAAAATTCTATGTTAGGATTTCTGCAAGGAATATGCATGCAAAATATAGTGACTTAACTCTTAAAAGTGAAGAAATGAGAGTAAAAATACAGACTTGGGACTTGTGTTGTCTCGGCTACTATGTATTTGAATTTCCCACCATTTTAGAAACATAAGTTTAGATTTTTAGATCATCAAAAACAAGCACTTAACAATGAAAACACACTTTTTCTCTCATCCATTTTCAAATATTATTTTAACTATTCAACCAATTATTTTATGTATATATAAACTTTTAAAAAAAATTTCAAAATTTGTGATATCACGACTATATCCTTTGATGTCATTCAGGTGGTAAAATAATAATTCAAAAGTTTTTTTTTTCTTATACATACATGTTCGAAATATGCGAAACTTTAAAAAAAGCAATATTGTTGGCCTATCTATCTAGTAGGTTGTCATGTTTTTAAATATTTATGTACCATTGGATTCATGCATTAATACAAATGAGATTAGAACTGAGAAATGAAATGAGAATTAAAATCTTTAAATGTTTTTTCTCTGAACCACTTTTCTGCACTCATGAGTTAATTTCTCAGTTATTTTTTAACCTTTTATCTAAATGTTTTCAACACCAAATAGGTTAGGATGTACATATCACAAGATCAATGAGCCCTACAATGCAAATTGCATACTCACACGTTTTCAACGATAACAGCTCATCCAAGCACACATACAACTTACCCGCCAGCTAGTCGCTGGTACATCACAGGAGTTACATTGCAATAAACCATGATGTTTTCAAAAGAATTATGACAAATGACCATGCAATTTGCACCACAATGCCCATTGATCCCATTCGTGACACCCTCGGGAAAACTCATAAAACACCACGCAATTTACCCGCTCCACGAGCCGTTCAAAAATGCAGTCTTAGCCAGCAACTAACTGGGTGCATGACAGGTACTATTCCAATGACTTGGAGATCAAATTGCAATCAAACCGGCAGCTAGCAATTGCATTCGATCGCGAGTGCTACCTGAAACACTTACCGTACATAGAACACTCTGTCATTGTGAAGCCTAAAACAGTAAGCGCCATCTGGTCGGTCAATCAGTTGCTTAATGCTCTCTCCAATACTGAAACACACAACAGATATTCTCTGAATAGTTTTTAAATGGATCCTGCATGCTGGGACCTCCTGTTATCTGAGTGAACAACAGTCCATTCAAAGTTCATTCCTTGATAAAAAAAATAAATGAAACAATTTATCTTCAGGTTCTAATATACCATTTGAAAGTTTGAAATTGTCAGCTTTGAAGATCTGGTATGCTTATGCATTGGTGTCGGACCCCCCCCCCTTTCTCAGATTTTTTATATTTCAAACTGAGCCTAGAATTGAAAGCTCTAGAGCTAATTAAGTGAAAGTGTAATGATGACAGAAATGATACTACTGTATGTCAGTATCTAGTCTAAATCAAGCATAGAAGATCTCTCATACAGGGTGGTAAAAAATGGAAACCCTGCATTTTCCTTATATCTTTGTCACTTTAAAAAGTTACTCCCTGATATTTCACACATTCCTACATCGTTCAATTTCCTACCACCCTACCATATTTCATGAACATCAGACTGATAGTCACAATTTTACAGCAATTTGAATAACATGCTTCAGATTTGGCCATCATCGCGCTGTAGGCAAAACAGCACAGTTGTCAATGAGCCAAATGCATTCCTCAGCAGGTATGGCCTGAATGAAACAGATGATCTCACTTTTGAGGTTTGCAATTGTCCTGAGGTCATTCTCATATATTCTATCTCTACCATATCCCCACAGGTAGGGACATTTAAGACGATGAGTAAAGGTTTCCCCACAACGCAATAGTGGCCACTGGGCATGTTGTTTAAAGTACATTGTGACTATCAATCTGATGGTCATGAAATAAAATAGGCTGGTGGCAAATTGAATGATGTACAAAATTGTAAAATAAAATATCAGGGAGTTATTTTTTAAAATGACTAAGTTTTGAGGAAATGGTATTAGGGTTTCCATTTTTTTTGACCACCCTGTATTATATTTAATTCTATACCATGTATAGTTTCTCAGGAACCTATACAGTTTGTAAATACTTTGAAGAATAAATACAAAATGTATATTTTAGTAAAAGTCAGTTGTTTTGATATATATATATTTTTTCTGACATATCTTCACATTGCACCAGAGAGGGTCTTTTGAAAATTTTCTAGATCCCCCTAGATTGTGCCACAGCATTCGGCGCGCTTCATGCATGCCCCATCAACGCCCAAAAGTCACCCCCTCCCTTGGCAAATCCTTTTGACACCCCTGTAATAGAGGTTCACTTGGAACAAAAATGTCTTATCTATCATTTCACTACCAAGAGGTGAATTAAGTTAATAACTTTTTATTCTGAAATATTAGTTTTGAAGTATAACAAAAAGGGATGATTTTAATTTTTACAGACGTGGACCGCCAAACATATTTCACAAAAAAGTTGAAGACTATAACAATATGTCACAACTCAAGCACTCATGGTAGTGACATAAAAAGCTATTCTTTGTTAAAAACTATAGTACAATGAAGGAGCCTATGGATAAAAATATTGTCATATAAAATATACAGAGGTTATTTAATGGGAGGTTTTTGATACAGGGTATATCTGAGGGAAATACAATATATCTACCCGAGGGACCGTAGTGGCCGAGGGTTGATATACTGTATTTACCGAGGGATATACCCTGTATCAAAAATCGAGCATTTTATAACTGATTTATTCTATACTTAGTTACTTAGATTATGAGGAATAATAGCCAAGTCGTCTGGCTCAGTATCTACTCCCTGTATTTGTGATATATCACCCGCTCACATCACATATCATATACATATTCCCGCATGTTATTTACCTATAACGCTAAAGTATGGAATAAATTCTTATATGATACATGACGTCACAATAGCTAGAGTAATTGACTTACTGGTTTATATTAAAGTATGTATGACCGCTAAAATCAAGAAACCCAAAAAGTTGTTTTTCTTGTCATATTAAAATCGTAACAAAGACCTCGATTTTATGATTTATGGCAAATATATGATCTCAAATTTTATTCTGGCCATTGCCAAAGACCCACCCTGCGTGCAGAGTCTAGTGAACTACACTCTGCCTAGTAGAGACCATACAGTTTAGTAGCCCCGCCCCCACGACAGATACCGGTGACAGTTTGGGTAAATCACTTTTGACCTACGCGCTGACCTTCCACCAATCAGCGAACTTTAAGAAACATACGCCAAATGCGTTCTAATTAAATATGCGCATGTCATTGGTCAATTCTGTGCTCAACGATGACGTCAGAAGGAATGACCATATAAAGAACGTTGGTCAAATTTGGCCGACGAACCCTGATTGGCGCGGTGAGTTCACAGGTTTATTTTAGCTTGAAAGAGTGAAGACGAAGCTCTCTTTTAAGAAGTGAAGTCAAACGAATGCAAAGGGTACCAAAGACCTCAATCGCAATGAGATTTCAGTCTTTTGACAATGAACAGAATAAAATTTATATTGCCCCATAAATCATAAAATCTTGGTCTTTATTCCTTAGGCTAATAAAAATGTCTAGATTTCAAATGTCTCTCTCATTATTTAGAATTCCCATTTTTATCACAAACGTGTATCAGTATCATATGTTTAAGAAAATGTACATATACAAATAGTTCAGAAGACAACAGAATCATTGATTTAATTCCTCACTTAAGTTACATAAACGTTTAAAATATATTCATATAATAATGAACTTATCTTTGATTGTTTGTGGTTTGGCTAATAAAATGTGTGGCCTCTTATATTTTGATGTAACTCACCAAGTTATTTTTGAAAAAAAGGCTGAAACTCGTTAAAAAGAGGACACAGGTTTATTGCACAAAAACTAATAAATCTGAAATAAACAAATGTCATTTATGTACAATGTGAATATATTTTTCCATATATTACAGCAGTGTGGTCATTTGATTCCTTATTTTTAGGTTTTATTGACAAAAATAAACCATTAAAATTGGAAGAGCATTTAATTGGCCCTCCCCCATCAAAAATAGTCAAGGATGAAAATTTGTAAATAGTAATACATTGATCAACCATAGTTAGTTATGTAATTCTAACCCATTTATACCTTGAGTGAAGTACTACATGTAGTATATGATATGTTTCCTTGACCTTGAGACTTACCCTTCACTGACCTATCAATATCTAAAGTTATGTAATTTGAACAAACTCTAAATACAGGGTGGGATAAAAATCAACACAAAAAATCAAGACGTTGAATGCTAAACAACAACTGCCAAACTGATTACTAACTGCCAAATAACAAACACCAACAACCAAACATCATCCACAAATAGTTGGAGACTATAACAATATGTCACTACTCATTTTTAAATAATGTACATAGTATAAAAATCTTTTCAGTTCATTTCAACAATTTTTCTAATAATAAAAGTGCATTTTCAAGTTTTCTTAAAGATGGGTGCAGCAAATCAATTTATAAATGACTCATTGCTGAAAAGGTCAAGAAATCAAAAGTTTGACAACTGAGACAGGAGTTTCACTAGAATTTTTCAAAACAGGCTAAATAAATGAAAACAACGGGCAAAATTAATGGAAATCATGAATTCAACAAGGAAAAGTTGAAAAGTTCCTAAAAACAACAGGCGATTTTGTGAAAACAACTGGTAAAAATCGCCTGTTACCTGTTGCCCTGTGAGATGACTTCACAGACATTAAAACTGACAAACTTTGTTTTCTTGAAGATAAAGAACTTGTCAAATTTTTGCTCATTCTATTTTTATCCATGTTAAAATTGTTCTATAATTTATCTGATTAGTTTACAATTTTTCATTAATTTTTTTATTAAAATTGGAGATATGGGAGTCTAAACTCGCATCTTGGTGTACCTAAGATGCAGTGCTTGCAGTTTCTTGAACTGGAATAAGAAGATGTTGTAAATACAAACAGATATTAATTAGATGGAGTATATGAAAAGGGCCAATATATCATGCCTGAGTCACATTTGCTCTGATTCATTGACTGGCGCCAGGCCGACTGAGTATTTTGTTCAAAATTATCTTCAGTTTTGAACAAAAAACTCAATCGGACGAGCGACAACTGATGAATCAGAGCAAATATGGCTCAGGCATTAGACACTCACTAAAATTGGTCAAAAACTTTTTTAATAGCAATTTCAGTTAGAGAGTGGAACATTTTCTTTTCACAAACAATTTTTGTGAGTTGAGTTGAACAACTGGCAATATCAGCTGATAATTGATCGAATTAAAGTGACAAATACACTTTGAGTGGGTTTATCACAATGATAAAAAGCGTAAAGGATAGGTATCGATATGGTGAACTGAATTCAACAATGTTTTTCTCTTAAACCAATTATTGAAAACACTCTGTAAAAAAACTTGGTACTTTATTTAATGTTGACTGATTGGCAACAATTTATTGCAAAAATTATTTATAAATATTTTATATAACTGTTCTTGTTAACATTTTTTATTTTTTGTTCCCTTCTAGCAATTCTTGAGAATGAAACAAAATGTCTTTCAAAACCTTGTTGGAACAAAATAGCATATACAACATTTTTTTAGACCTCTCAATATTACAGTTATACAAAGGAAATTTTGGTTGATTTTACAAAATGTATGCAAACAAAACCCCCGAAAATAGATAAAAATTAAGATAAACATTTTATTTCACAAACAAGATACTTTTTTAAAATCAACCAAACTTTCCTTTGTACAATTACAATATTGAGAGACCTAAACACATTGTGTTTATGTTGTTTTGTTCCAATGAGATTCGGATAGATGTTTCATTTCATTCTGAACATATGATACCAAGAACAAAAGAAGTGTCAGATGTGTTTTCCAAAACAATATAGAGAAAAGGATATATATACGTTTCAAATTATAATGTTACCATCCAATAGATGACCATTAAATTGACGATGTGTAAAATGTTCACAAAAGTTCACCATATCGATACCACTCCTTTGGTCTTTTAAATATTTGTTTTTTTTAATTTTTGCTACTTCTAGAATAACATACCAATAACCTCATTTCATGCATCTTCGCACACTCGGTCTTTACTGCTTTCACTATCTTACCAGCTGAAATGAGGTTATTAGTATTATCACCACCTACTGTATAACATGAAATATTGCTGTGGATATAAAGTTGCCGATTGCCGAATGTAAAACAGAAACGGCAACATAAAATTCGGAAATATAATTTAGTAATTGAAGATCGATCTTAGTGGGCGATAATATGGTAGTTGTCTAACGTGTGTCAACTTACCGTAATAGGGTAATTTTCTAACCAGTATCAACTTACTATACTTTAACAAAAATCATAAATAAAATACGATAAAATCGAAGCTTTATTCCTCAGCATTACAATTACAATAAAAAGTTAATAATAAAAATGTTGCAGTTAAAATGCATGCAGTAAATTCTACAAAATATTAAAAGGATTGTCATGTTAAAAAGTTAAAATGTCAGAAGATATAATTGTATCCAAGTGCTTTGGAAATCCCAGTATTGAAAGTTTTTAATCCCGATATTAAAAGTTTTTAATCCTGGTATTAATTGTCCTGAGTCTATCGAATGCGGGTATTATGTGAATAAATCACTCAAATTGTCACTCATAATGTCAGGATGTCAGGTTTTCTGAGTCAGTCAAATGAAGGTGATTAAAATTCAGTTGTAAATCAAAATTATATTCGGGGTGTTAACCATCAATATTTTATTTGGCTTTACATTTAGGGGTGTCAGGTAGGCAAACTTTTATTCGGCAATAACAATTTTAATCCAATTCGGAAAATAAAGCACCCGGATTTAATACATGTTATACAGTATTTAAAACTAAGTATAAACTCATAAAATATAAGCCTTTTAAACTAGAACTAAATACCCCAAGAACATGCAGGCCTCACAAGATGTTGATAATGTTAATTCATTTCCTAAACTGTTACATATGAAAGTAAATGACAACCTGAAGATATGTCCCTAATACTTCTCTTTACACATACAATAATGTCAGATTCTGGAATTTTCAGGTATGTCATACATGAATCATCATTATTAGGAGTGTGACAGAATCCCAAATCATGATGGCCATGATGCAATAATGCTTATTATTACCACCTTGCCGGGCCAGTTCTAGGGGTTTTAGTGCTAGTTTAGAAGGCATTCATTTTACTATATCTACCTGAGCAATATGTGATGCCTTCGACCCTCGGTCCAATATTTCACTATATTGCCCTTCGAAATGACGTTATTGTACTAATACATTTCTTAAAAATGATTTGCATCATCTGTGAGGACAGTCACATATTACCTATCAATAACTAAACAAACCCCAAATGACATAATATTTTGATTATTCTCTGAGTGGATGGATGATATTTTTTTGGCTCACCCTGTAATGTCTAGTTTCTTCTCCAATGCCTACATGTGTGAAGTATATTGACCGATGCTGGGAATATAATTTTCAAAGGTTCTACAGCAACTCTAAGATGATTGGATACAACAGAGTTAGTACCATGGTAATTTACCAATCACAGTCATTCAAATTGAAAGTGGCATTCTTTATGAGTTTAAAGATGTACATGTATTCTGTATTATTCAATAAACCTTGAGACAACATTCAAGTGAAATGATATGGGAAGTTGCTGCAATTCTTCTAGGATTTATTTTTCTCAAATATATTTGGGACCATAGAATAGGAAGGAGGAGATGTAAAATTGCAGGACCACGTGGGCTTCCTCTAATAGGGAATGCACTGGAATTTATGCAAATATTCCCATTTGATCAATTTACATTTTGGAGACAGAAATATGGAGACATTTTTAAAATTCAATTATTGAATAAAGATATAGTGATACTAAATGGAGATGCGGTCTATGATGCCTTAGTGGGTCAATCTGATGACTTTTCTGGGAGGCCTGATATACCACGATTGCAGTTGTTTAACGATTGTGAGGACATCGCCACAAGAAATCCCGATAATAAATGGAAAGACTACAGAAAAATATGTCATCAAGGATTGAGACAGTTTGGAAAAGGGGTTGCACATATAGAAAAAATAACAATGCATGAGATAGAGGATTGTATAGCTAAATTTGAGGCGCAGAATGGCGCTTTTAATCCCAACATTGATATATACAGATCGGTTACAAATATCTTAATGATTATGGTAAGATCATATTGAGAAATAATACACAGATATTTTTCTGAGAAAATACTGTTTCAGAAATCTGAAAGTTAAGACAATGCCTGAATTTTTAACAATTTATTTTTACAGATTCTGGGTGAAAAGTTGGACAGCTCAGACCCTTTGATTGATAAGCTGGCGCAATGTCAGGAAACACTAGACCAAGCATTTGGACCAAAATATCTCTCACTGGATATCATTCCATGGATACGATACATCCCCGGTGTGAAAACTTTCTCAGGATTCAAGGACTCAGTTGCATCAGTCCACAAAGTGTTCAGTGATATCATCAAAGAAAGGAAGGTATGGGTTGGCACCAGGGGATTTGAGGGGCTTCAGTGAACACTTATTAACCCCCCCCCCCCCCATAATATTAAAAAATTTGTGACAAATATGAAAAACATTTCTGGGAGCAGAAATCTTAAATTCTCAGCAAACCCCTTAAATTTTCAAAATTATTCTTATTTGTTCTCAGCAAAACTAATCAATCGTTAAGAATGTTAGTTCGTAAAACAGGCAAACACTGTTTAAAAATTGAAAAACTAATAAATATATGAATATGTTACTTAGATGCAGTTGCTAGATGGACAAGATAAGGCTGAGGGAATATTAGACATGCTGCTTGCTACACAGGAGGAGAGGAAGGGAACTGACAAAAACATATCAGACAAAACAATGAATGGTCTCATTCAAGATATGGTTATCCCAGGTAAGGCAACTAAAGAATAATATTGATTCGAACATGACTGTATTTATGCCTTCTATAAACTGTGAACAAAGTCAATGCTTCAGCTGGGTTACATTCGAGATTAATTCCCCTGCTCTGTACTAAATGTTTTGTTCAGTGCACTCATCCCCCTCTCATCTGCAAAATGGCAGGGAGAAATAGTCCAGAGCCAAAATTTTCTATCGGAGCATTTGTAAACCGTAATCTCAATAATTTCAATAACCAGAACAACGGCAACGCCAAGGCGTAGCGAATCCCATCGAACAGCTATGGATGGCATTTTTATTTTTACAAACAAAGTATATAGCAAAAATGGCCACCGTCTACCAAAAGTGTCATTAGACCATTTGCCATACTTATAGTATTCACATACCAAATATGAACAAAATCGCTCCACTACTTTTCGAGTTATAGTAAAATGCGTTAAAATGGCGGCCATTTTTCAAAATGGCCGCCTTCTACCAAAAGTGTCATTAGACAGTAGTGTGCCATGCTTACAGTATTCACATACCAAATATGAACAAAATCGCTTCACTACTTTTCGAATTATTATAAAATACATTAAAATGGCGGCCATTTTTCAAAAATTTTTTCAAAATGGCCACCTTCTACTAAAAGTGTCATAGGATAGTGTGTCATGATTTTAGTATTCACATACCAAATATGAACAAAATCGCTCCACTACTTTTCGAGTTATAGCGAAATACGTTAAAATGGCGGCCATTTTGAAAAATGGCGGCCATTTTGAAAAATGGCCGCCTTCTACCAAAAGTGTCATTAGACAATGTGCCATCCTTATAGTATTCACATACCAAATATGAACAAAATCGCTTCACTACTTTTCGAGTTATAGTAAAATAGGTTTAAATGGCGGCCATTTTTCAAAATGGCGGCCATTTTTTAAAATGGCCACCTTCTACCAAAAGTGTCTTTAGACAGTGTGCAATGTTTATAGTATTCACATACCAAATATGAACAAAATCGCTCCACTACTTTTCGAGTTACAGCAAAAATCGTAAAATAACGCGTAAAGGCCGCCATATTTCAAGATGGCTGCCATGTACTCCTTTAATATCTACATTTCTAGCTTTATTAATGTCCTATATAATTTTTTTACATCTAAAACATATTGCTATTACAGTTTTACATATTGCACCTAAATTACTGTAAATTCGGCACTAAAATGGCCGCCATTTTGAAATGAGCGGCCATTTTGAAAATCGGCTTTCGAGCAGAACTTCTACCCCCAAAGGGTATATGTGTACAAAATATTAACAAAATCGGGCCAACGGTATTTGAGTTATTGCCCGGACGGACGGACGGACGGATGTACGTACGGACGGACGGACGGACGTACGTACGGACGGACGGACGGACGTACGTACGGACGGACGGAGGCGTTCCCTATATCCCTCCGAACTTCGTTCGATGGGATAATTATCAATGTAGTAGATATGCGTGAAACCAATAAAATAGGCCCAAATGTCAATAAAAAACTTAAGCCAAACAGCTGAACGCTTTACCGGAAGTAGAAATGAAAAAGTGGAAATGAACATCGAAATTGATGATTTTGCAATATTCTGGTGAGTTTTCATGTTCGAATCGTAATATAGAACTCAGAGCAGGGCTACTAGTTTCGAATACACCCCTTAGGTCTTTTGAACCCCTCACTCCCTTCGATCGTTCGGGGAAAACGTTTGTGCCTTAGACCTGCGGGTGTATTCGGAACTAGTAGCCCTGCTCTTCGGTCTATATTTCTTAATTAATTTCCTCAAATCACTGAACTATCTTTTCACTAAACTGTATTTTCCGAGCTTTCTGTAACTCCTGCTAACTTTGTCAAGTTAAGATACTACTACAGTAAAACTTTAAATGTTTAAAAAATAAGCAATTAAATGACTATATTGCAACAGTATATGAAACAAGGCACAGGCGTGAACAATATCGTACCTAAAACACAGCATTGTGGTCTTGTTGACCAAGAAAGCAAGATGGCCGCAGAAAAGTTAATCAGCTCTAGAACTTATCACTGTGTAACATTTGAACGGTTTGGCTGGAAACCTGTAGACAAGTCTTGAAAGTGAAGATTTTAGGACGGAAAATCCAAAATGGCCACCTTAAAATTTACCCAGAATGCCCAAAAACCAATCAGTTCTTGACGTTGATATGTAGAAACATCCCTGAAAATTTCAGATGAATCCCTCAAATGGTTTGGCTGAAAATCTGTAGACAAGTCTTGAAAGTGAAGATTTTAGGAATGAAAATCCAAAATGGCCACCTTAAAATTTAACCAGAATGCCCAAAAACTAATCAGTTCTTGACGTTGATATGTAGAAACATCCCTGAAAATTTCAGATGAATCCCTCCAAAGGTTTGGCTGGAAACCTGTAGACAAGTCTTGAAAGTAAAGATTTTAGGACGGAAAATCCAAAATGGCCACCTTAAAATTTACCCAGAATGCCCAAAAACTAATCAGTTCTTGACGTTGATATGTAGAAACATCCCTGAAAATTTCAGATGAATCCCTCAAATGGTTTGGCTGAAAACCTGTAGACTAGTCTTGAAAGTGAAGATTTTAGGACGGAAAATCCAAAATGGCCACCTTAAAATTTACCCAGAATGGCCAAAAACTAATCAGTTCTTGAGGTTGATATGTAGAAACATCCCTGAAAATTTCAGATGAATCCCTCAAATGGTTTGGCTGGAAACCTGTAGACAAGTCTTGAAAGTGAAGATTTTAGGACGGAAAATCCAAAAAGGCCACCTTAAGATTTACCCAGAATGCCCAAAAACTAATCAGTTCTTGACGTTGATATGTAGAAACATCCCTGAAAATTTCAGATGAATCCCTTAAATGGTTTGGCTGGAAACCTGTAGGCAAGTCTTAAAAGTGAAGATTTTAGGACGGAAAATCCAAAATGGCCACCTTAAGATTTACCCAGAATGCCCAAAAACTAATCAGTTCTTGACGTTGATATGTAGAAACATCCCTGAAAATTTCAGATGAATCCCTCAAATGGTTTGGCTGGAAACCTGTAGACAAGTCTTGAAAGTGAAGATTTTAGGACGGAAAATCCAAAACAGCCACCTTAAGATTTACCCAGAATGCCCAAAAACTAATCAGTTCTTGACGTTGATATGTAGAAACATCCCTGAAAATTTCAGATGAATCTCTCAAATGGTTTGGCTGGAAACCTGTAGACAAGCTGAAAAGTGAGACGCCGCCCGCCGCCCGCCCGGCCGCCAAGCTGACTACAATATCGTACCTTTTGTTAGGTACGATAAAAATAGAAACATTGTACAAGGTCCAACTTTTGTATATTTCAGATAGTTTCTATTTTTACATACCGTATACTGTTTCAATATGGTCCTTTGATTGCTTATTTTTTAGATTCAACATTCTTCCAAACATTAAAAATTTTGCTGTAGCGGGAACAGGGTTGACCCTTGACCTATCTTTGATTCCAACTACAACAAACCCTGTGTTGCAATTCTTATGCCTTCATATTATCGTATCATTTCTAAAATGAAGCCCTCCGATTGGTCAGTTATTGTGCTGTATCAATCTGTATTGCTAATGAGATTATCCCCATTGATCATCTCTGTAGCAATACAGATAATATTGGTACGGAGGGGACAATCTCAGTAACAATACATAGAATACAGAATATTTCCCAGGGGTTATCTCCTTAGCAAAATGTATCGGTTCAAGATCACACAATAAACACGTTATAGATTGATTTGAAGTGCAATACAGAATATATTGTGCTCTAAATATTCTGTATTGACACTCAATTTCATCTCATTCCTATACTAGACTACGCCCCACTCTGATAATTGTAACTCCTTCCTTACATGAAAGGTTACACATTCCAACCTATTTCAAACCATCTGTATGATGATACTAGACACTTTCTGGGTAGTTGGACTTTCTATAGGGGTGGCAGACGGCCCTCGGACCAATTTATACCCCTACCCCCAAAAAACCATGGGGGTACTTTAATACCAGCCAATAAAAAGAATACTAATGCATGCCAGATATTCATTGTTTTATATTGGGTAGGGCATGTTATGGTTAGTAAGTGCCAAAAATTTCCAATCTCTAACTTATATGGTTAGCATAGAAACAGTATTTATATCTCGAAATATTCTCAATTTGACCCCCTCCCAAATGTGTCCCTTTGTTCTCAAAGTGAAATATTTGCAAATCTGTTTGGATTTTATGGCTGCTACTTTGTCAAAAATTGTATCAATATGTATATTTTAACATTTAAACGCTGAAAAGTGTTCATAATGATCCTATAAATCAATAATATTTATCAAATATAGTCACACATAGCTGCTTTTAGGGAAAAGTGGGCGTGGCACTTTTTGGTACGCGTGTACTTGTTGCAGCATTAAATGAAAAATACATATTATACTAATAACAATTGACATTTAATTAGCATCTACTTATGTTGTGTAACATTGTAATATGTTCATTATCATTATTAGACACTTTAAATATTTTATATAAGTGTTATCCTGACCCTTCCCTTTATCCCTACACCCTTCAAGGTGGGCATTACCAATCGTGTAAAGTTAACATTTCTGTTTGATTTATTTTTACCATAGACAAGGTACAAAAGCTTTACCATGAGTACTGACCTTATTAGGTGCTAAACTGATGAATGGATAGGTAGATGGCAGCACTTATGCTGGTTGGACTACACGCTAGCATCTACCATAGACACATATTGATTTACCATATTTGTTATTTTGGATTAAAGTAAAACTGCTTTCGCACCAAACTTAATGAGATTCAGATTGTGTTTGAAACTATATGATCTTCAGATTTTGTGTGAACCTTAAATTCATGACAATCAAAAGAATTCAACATTTAGGAAGTCAACATTAAGATTATTAACATCGTCTCAATGAGAATTAAGTGTGACCTTTTTCAGAAAGTTAAAGATCATAGAAAATTGAACATAATCAAAGTT